AATGATCAGTCTATAATTTTAATGGTAGGTTTATTTGAACAGTGAGAGACAGAATAACAACAACAAAATCCAGAAAAACGCATGTCAAAAATGTTATTAATTGATTTGCATTTTAATGAGGGAAATAAGTATTTGACCCCTCTGCAAAACATGGCTTAGTACTTGGTGGCAAAACCCTTGTTGGCAATCACAGAGGTCAGACGTTTCTTGTAGTTGGCCACCAGGTTTGCACACATCTCAGGAGGGATTTTGTTCCACTCCTCTTTGCAGATCTTCTCCAAGTCATTAAGGTTTCGAGGCTGACGTTTGGCAACTCAAACCTTCAGCTCCCTCCACAGATTTTCTATGGGATTAAGCTCTGGAGACTGGCTAATCACCCAAGATTTGACGGTACATGGCCCCGTCCATCGTCCCTTTGATGCGGTGAAGTTGTCCTGTCCCCTTAGCAGAAAAACACCCCCAAAACATAATGTTTCCACCTCCATGTTTGACGGTGGGGATCGTCTTCTTGGGGTCATAGGCAGCATTCCTCCTCCTCCAAACACGGCGAGTTGAGTTGATGCCAAAGAGCTCAATTTTGGTCTCATCTGACCACAACACTTTCACCCAAGTTCTCCTCTGAATCATTCAGATGTTCACTGGCAAACTTCAGACGGGCGTGTATATGTGCTTTCTTGAGCAGGGGGACCTTGCAGGCGCTGCAGGATTTCAGTCCTTCACGGCGTAGTGTGTTACCAATTGTTTTCTTGGTGACTATGGTCCCAGCTGCCTTGAGATCATTGACAAGATCCTCCCGTGTAGTTCTGGGCTGATTCCTTACCGTTCTCATGATCATTGCAACTCCACGAGGTGAGATCTTGCATGGAGCCCCAGGCCGAGGGAGATTGACAGTTATTTTGTGTTTCTTCCATTTGCGAATAATCGCACCAACAAGCTGCTTGGCGATGGTCTTGTAGCCCATTCCAGCCTTGTGTAGGTCTACAATCTTGTCCCTGACATCCTTGGAGAGCTCTTTGGTCTTGGCCATGGTGGAGAGTTTGGAATCTGATTGATTGATTGCTTCTGTGGACAGGTGTCTTTTATACAGGTATCAAGATGAGATTGGGAGCATTCCCTTTAAGAGTGTGCTCCTAATCTCAGCTCGTTACCTGTATAAAAGACACCTGGGAGCCAGAGATCTTTCAGATTGAGAGGGGGTGAAATACTTATTTCCCTCATTAAAATGCAAATCAATTTATAACATTTTTGACATGCATTTTTCTGGATGTTTTTGTTGTTATTCTGTCTCTCACTGTTCAAATAAACCTACCATTAAAATTATAGACTGATCATTTCTTTGTCAGTGGGCAAACGTACAAAATCAGCAGGGGATCAAATACTTTTTTCCCTCACTGTATTGGCTAGCTGCTTAATTAAAATCACCCAGCTCAACAAGACCCTTCGGTCGCTGGGCCTGTCCCTTGGACAGTGATGGTAATTACGCATATCCAAACATAGCACATAAGACATTTACCTGATTTTCCCCTGTCGTATGTTGTTGATGCTTGTGTTTAGACAGTTGAAAGTGTGACGGGGAGACCGAAGTAGATGGATGGCTTTGAAAGTGTCAGACTGGGGATTCAGGCATGTGTGTTGAGAAGTTGGCTGTGTTAATCACTAGGTCAAACTTCAGCACAAACATTTAGCCTACCTGCTTCCTAAACAGACATATTTCCCCTTCTCTCTCCTGTTATTCATCGATAGAATGAAAATAGAGATGGAAATGTGCTGTTGCTCTAGAGAGGACAGGCTCAGAGATATGGCCGAGGCCATTGTTCATTGACCTCTGGGGGTCAAATGTCAGCGTTCAGTTTCCTGTGAGGTTGGCTGTGGCGGTGCGATCGTACGAGGGGTGGAAAGAGATGGCATGCTGAGCGTGGAATAAATATCAGGATGGGATCCCCGGGACAGGAATGACGACCGTGAAGAAGGGAATTTTCCGCCTCGTCACAGACGACAGCGTGGGGACCTTCTCTGGACAGTCTCCAGGGATTCCCACCCTCTCCAGCCAGAGCACGTCAGAGCAGAACAGGGACGTTCTGTTTTCCTTTCTGAATTTCTGGGAGGGAAGCTGGATGGGACTCTTGGCAAGAGAGGAGCAGTTAACCAATAAACATTCCATGGTTATTATTTAGTCTCCTTCTGTGACTTAAGTGCAGTTAAGATCAAAACCTCAATTATTGATCAGTGACATTGACAACTCGATCTGCATTATTACTAACACTGTACTGTATAGCCTACTGTATTGTCCCACGGATACTTGGATCAAATATGTGTGGGATGATAAATAGAAGTGAAGTGAAAAATCAAAACGGCCCATTTCCCTCCTCTATTTCCTGTCTACCTCTGTTACATGAGTGGAATACAGAGAGGTACAGTGGCTTGCGAAAGTATTCACCCCCCTTGGCATTTTTCCTATTTTGTTGCCTTACAACCTGGAATTAAAATGGAGGGTTCGTATCATTTGATTTACACAACATGCCTACCACTTTTGAAGATGCAAAATATTTCTTATTGTGAAACAAACAAGAAATAAGACAAAAAAACAGAAAACTTGAGCGTGCATAACTATTCACCCCCCCCAAAGTCAATACTTTGTAGAGCCACCTTTTGCAGCAATTACAGATACAAGTCTCTTGGGGTATGTCTCTGTAAGCTTGGCACATGTAGCTACTGGGATTATTGCCCATTCTTCAAGGCAAAATTGCTCCAGCTCCTTCAAGTTGGATGGGTTCCGCTGGTGTACAGCAATCTTTTAAGTCATACCACCGATTCTCAATTGGATTGAGGTCTGGGCGTTTGACTAGGCCATTCCAAGACATTTAAATGTTTCCCCTTAAACCACTCAAGTGTTGCTTTAGCAGTATGCTTAGGGTCATTGTCCTGCTGGAAGGTGAACCTCCGTCCCAATCTCAAATCTCTGGAAGACTGAAACAGGTTTCCCTCAAGAATTTCCCTATATTTAGCACCATCCATCATTCCTTCAATTCTGACCAGTTTCCCTGTCCCTGCCGATTAATAACATCCCCACAGCATGATGCTGCCACCACCATGCTTCACTGTGGGGATGGTGTTCTCGGGGTGATGAGAGGTGTTGGGTTTGCGCAAGACATAGCGTTTTCCTTGATGGCCAAAAAGCTCAATTTTAGTCTCATCTGACCAGAGTACCTTCTTCCATATGTTTGGGGAGTCTCCCCCATGGCTTTTGGCGAACACCAAACGTGTTTGCTTCTTTTTTTTGCAGCTCCTTCTGGGTTAACTTTGGTCTCTTTGTTGCCTCTCTGATTAATGCCCTTCTTGCCTGGTCCGTGAGTTTTGGTGGGCACCCCTCTCTTGGCACGTTTGTTGTGGTGCCATATTCTTTCCATTTTTTTAATAATGGATTTAATGGTGCTCCGTGGGATGTTCAAAGTTTCGGATATATTTTTATAACCCAACCCTGGTCTGTACTTCTCCACAACTTTGTCCCTGTCCTGTTTGGAGAGCTCCTTGGTCTTCATGGTGCCGCTTGCTTGGTGGTGCCCCTTGCTTAGTGGTGTTGCAGACTCTGGGGCCTTTTAGAACAGGTGTATATATACTGAGATCATGTGACAGATCATGTGACACTTAGATTGCACACAGGTGGACTTTATATAACTAATTATGTGACTTCTGAAGGTAATTGGTTGCACCAGATCTTATTTAGGGGCTTCATAGCAAAGGGGGTGAATACATATGCACGCCTCACTTTTCCATTATTTATTTATTATAATTTTTTGAAACAAGTTATTTTTTTCATTTCACTTCACCAATTTGGACTATTTTGTGTATGTCCATTACATGAAATTCAAATAAAAATCCATTTAACATTCACATTTACGTCATTTAGCAGACGCTCTTATCCAGAGCGACTTACAAATTGGTGCATTCACCTTATAGCCAGTGGGATAACCACTTTACAATATATATTATTTTTTTCTGGGGGGTTGGGGTAAGGGGGGGTAGAAGGATTACTTTATCCTATCCCAGGTATTACTTAAAGAGGTGGGGTTTCAAGTGTCTCCGGAAGGTGGTGAGTGACTCCGCCGTCCTGGCGTCGTGAGGGAGCTTGTTCCACCATTGGGGTGCCAGAGCAGCGAACAGTTTTGACTGGGCTGAGCGGGAACTGTGCTTCAAAATAGGAAAAACGCCAAGGGGGATGAATACTTTTGCCAGGCACTGTAGATAGTAGAGTCTGATGGGCAGTCAGCCTCACAGACAGACAGTCAGACAGACAGACAGTACAGGAGGAAGCATTAAGCCAGAGGAGGTAGAGAGGAACTTTCATCCCTCCAGACAGAGGGGATCAGAGAGCCGTCCTCGTGACGAAGGGAGGAAATCCCTTCTCAGCAGGTACTACTCTGTAAATAATGTATGAGAGGGCAGACAGGTGGGTAGGCGTCGGGCTGGCTTGACCGTGGAATGTGTATGTGTTAGAGCACAGACAGTCTGGTCTTTCCTCCAAGAAGCACTAGAGGAGCATGCAGCTTAATCAGAGCAACAGAGACACCCGGTGGTCATCTGAGGAACTGCAACAAGACCTCAGAAAATAAATAGTTTTGTGAGTAAAAAACAAAATGAAAAGCAAGTCAGTTAATACATGTTAGGAATATGTGGTCCTTCCTGGAATCAAACCCAGAACACTGGTGTCACAAACGACAACCAGCTGAGCCTTGTAGCATGAGGGATTGCTTGTTATAAGCCACTAACTGCTTAGATACTACAATGCTAGTGGATTTGTGCTTTCTGAGTTTGTGTGTCTGTGTCTAAGAGAAGGCACAGAAGCTCATAATAATGGTTGTTGATTCTCAAGGCTGCACCGTTTGCTTGCTCCCGCACCCGCTCGTCTCACCACAGTACCACCAACCCCACCTCTCACCAAGCCCACTGGGATGCAAGTGAATGTTAGTCTCTGTCTGGCTGTAGCTGTACAGACTCATGACATGCAGATGGCTGGCATGCCGCGTTTGATGACTTGCTATTCTCAAACCCAGCCAGGAGACGCCCTGAGGCAGGAAAGTCCCCTACCGGGACCCGACCTCGGTGTCAGCTTTCCCCTCAACGAATCTGGGCCACATTGGCTGGGCGTTGCTGCTGGGAGGGGGAGCAGATTGCTGTATAAAGGGGGTTAGGCAGCAGTGTCTGTCTGTGTGGTTCCCTGGCCTGTTGCAACGTGATATCACCTTACCCTGATCAGACCGACTAGGTCATTGGCCCAGGCCCAGGTCTGATCCTAGTGGGACAATATAGCAAAGTATTATAATACAAGTTTGTTAAGTCGTACATGACATAATGTATTTGGAAATGGTTTTTTATCATCATTCTAAAACATCCAGAAGAATCTATAGATTTTTCAAGATACAAAAAAACAGATTGGATTTGTTGGACCGTGATTATATGTTTTGTTACTGTATTACATATGTTTCACTCATAAACACTATATGGGTTAAACTGGTTCTTGGTACAGCCTCAGTTTCTGACCTCATCTTTGGTATGTTGCAATTGCCTCCCAGAGAGTTCTGTGTTTTCCACAGATCCGATAATCCATGCATATTGGCACAGAAAAAGCTCTATGTATGCACATTCTTATGGACTTCTTGAGCGGTATTGCATACTGTGGCGAACCAAAGCACTCCTCCTGGTTCTCCAGTAAACTTTTCCCCTTTGTTTTATCTCCTGTGGAACTTACGAGTAGATTTGCTGTGTTTCAGCTTATTTTTCTGCCCCCAGATTTTCATTTCAACATCCCTCCATCTCCCTCTCGTCTCTCTCCAATCATCTCTCTCTCTCGCTCTGTCCAATCATCTCGCTCTCTCCAATCATCTCTCTCTCTCTCCAATCATCTCTCTCTCTTGCTCTCTCTAATCATCTCTCTCTCACTCTCAATTTCAATTCAATTTCAATTTAAGGGGCTTTATTGGCATGGGAAACATATGTTTACATTGCCAAAGCAAGTGAAATAGATAATAAACAAAAGTGAAATAAACAATAAACCATTTTTTACAGTTAAAATGACACTCACAAAAGTTCCAAAAGAATAAAGACATTTCAAATGTGATATTATGTGCAAATAGTTAAAGTACAAAAGGGAAAATAAATAAACATTTACAATGGTGTTTGTTCTTCACTGGTTGCCCTTTTCTTGTAGCAACAGGTCACAAATCTTGCTGCTGTGATGGCACACTGTGTGGTATTTCACCCAATAGATATGGGAGATTATCAAAATTGGGTTTGTTTTCAAATTCTTTGGGTCTGTGTAATCTGAGGGAAATATGTGTCTTTAATATAGTCATACATTTGGCATGAGGTTAGGAAGTGCAGCTCAGTTTCCACCTCATTTTGTGGGCAGTGTGTACATAGCCTTCTCTTGAGAGCCAGGTCTTCCTACAGCGGCCTTTCTCAATAGCAAGGCTATGCTCACTGAGTCTGTAAATAGTCAAAGCTTTCCTTAAGTTTGGGTCAGTCACAGTGGTCAGGTATTCAGAGATGAACCTGGAGAAGAGTCCCCTAAGCAAGCTGGTCCTGGGACTCTGTTTAGGGCCAAATAGCATTGTAGTTTGCTCTGTTTTTTTGTTAATTCTTTCCACAATGTGTGAAGTAATTCTCTTTTTGTTTAATCATGATTTGGTTGGGTCTAATTGTGTTGCTGTCCTGTGTTTGTGAAGAGAGACCCAGGACCAGCTTGCTTAGGGGACTCTTCTCCAGGTTCATCTCTCTGTAGGTGATTTGTTATGGAAGGTTTGGGAATGGCTGTAGAATTGAACGGCTCTTTTCTAGATTTTGATCATTAGCGAGTATCGGCCTAATTCTGCTCTGCATCACTCTCTCTCTCTCCCTCTTCCCTCACCTCATCTATCTCTTTCACCTCCATCCCCCCTCTTCCCTGCCGCTTTATCTCACTCTCTTCTTTCACCCTCTCCCTCCATCCCTCATCCCTCACCAGAAATGAATGTTCTCTCACTAAGGAATGGAGGCGATCAGCCCCATCAAGCCCATATGCTGAGCGAGGTGTTTTTCCTGGTTTTATTCATGTTTTAAATCCCTTTAAATGATGCTGGGACTGTAGTGGTGGGGGTTGGGGGCTTGGCATCAAGGCCAAAGAACATTCTGGTAGAGCCAAGGATGGATTTAAAAGGCCAGCTGTGTAGAACAGGCACACAGCGGAGACTGACTAGGTATTTTTACTTAATACCGCTGTTTTAATTGCAAGGCACACCGTCCCTCATGGTGTAAAACTAACAGGTTTATTGGGGTTTAGTGATGAGCTGAATTTACGGTTTTATGGACAGTTTTAAAATGCACTCTATGAATGTTCTAGGATAGAAGGCCCTCTGAATGCATTCATAATGCTATGTACACCGGTGATTCGTTCAACGTGTTACAGTAGCTATTGGGGTAACACTTTACTTTAAAGCGTCCAGGGATAATTCACTATGATGCAGTTCTAATGCATTGTCATGAACATGTACAGTATTACCACATTATAATGTCTTGTAATCATTTCATAATGATCCAGACCAAATAAAACCCTGTTTGAGACACTTGGAAACATAGAGAGACAAAACATACTAAATACGCATTGTTATAAAACATTTATAACATACATGCTTATAACAAGTTGTAATGCATAATACCTGGATGCTTTAAGTAAAGTGAAACCAACATGGGTTGTGTCAGATGAAATTTCATATTCACCATCTCCAGCACCACCCCAACATACTGTATATGAAAATGGCACATTTCTATGTTTTGTAGTAAAGAAGATAGAGAAAGATAAGTGTTTCCAATGACATCATCAAAAATTAGTAGGCAATTAGTCAGCAATTAGTAGGCAACGCCTAATAATTGGTTAAAATCACATGATGCACACCGATGTCATTGAAAACACTTTTCTTCCTCTGTTTTTACTTCAAAACATAGAAACGCGCCATTTTCACATACAGTGCCTTGGGAAAGTATTCAGACCCCTTGACTTTTTCCACATTTTCTTACGTTACAGCTTTATTCTAAAATGGATTAAATAAAAAAAATCCTCAGCAATCTACACACAATAACCCATAATGACAAAGCGAGAAAAGGTTTTTAGATTTTTTTGCAAATTTATTAAAAATAAAAAACAGAAATACCTTATTTACATAAGTATTCAGACCCTTTTCTATGAGACTCGAAATTGAGCTCAGGTGCATCCTGTTTCCATTGATCATCCTTGAGATGTTTCTACAACTTGATTGGAGTCCACCTGTGGTAAATTAAATTGATTGGACATGATTTGGAAAGGCACACACCTGTCTATATAAGGTCCCACAGTTGACAGTGCATGTCAGAGCAAAAACCAAGCCATGAGGTTGAAGGAATTGTCCGTAGAGCTCTTAGACAGGATTGTGTCGAGGCACAGATCTGGGGAAGGGTACCAAAAAATGTCTGCAGCATTGAAGGTCCCCAAGAACACAGTGGCCTCCATCATTCTTAAATGGAAGAAGTTTGGGACCACCAAGACTCTTCCTAGAGCTGGCCAAACTGAGCAATCGGGGGAGAAGGGCCTTGGTCAGGGAAGTGACCAAGAACCCGATGGTCACTCTGACAGAGCTCTAGAGTTCCTCTGTGGAGATAAGAGAACCTTCCAGAAGGACAACCATCTCTGCAGCACTCCACCAATCAGGCCTTTATGGTAGTGGCCAGACTGAAGCCACTCCTCAGTAAAAGGCATTTGACAGCCCGCTTGGAGGCACCTAAAGACTCTCAGACCATGTGAAGCAAGATTCTCTGGTCTGATGAAACCAAGATTGAACTATTTGGCCTGAATGCCAAGCGTCACGTCTGGAGGAAACCTGGCACCATCCTTACGGTGAAGCATGGTGGTGGCAGCATCATGCTGTGGGGATGTTTTTCAGCGGCAGGGACTGGGAGACTAGTCAGGATCGAGGCAAAGATGAACGGAGCAAAGTACAGAGAGATCCTTAATGAAAACCTGCTCCAGAGCGCTCAGGACCTCAGACTGGGGTGAAGGTTCATCTTCCAACAGGACAACGACCCTAAGCACCAGCCAAGACAAAGCAGGAGTGGCTTCGGGACAAGTCTCTTAATGTCCTTGAGCGGCCCAGCCAGAGCCTGGACTTGAACCTGATCAAACATCTCTGGAGAGACCTGAAAATAGCTGTGCAGCGACACTCCCCATCCAACCTGACAGAGCTTGAGAGGATCTGCAGAGAAGAATGGGAGAAACTCTTCAAATACAGGTGTGCCAAGCTTGTAGCGTCATACCCAAGAAGACTCAATGCTGTAATCGCTGCCAAAGATGTGTCAACAAAGTACTGAGTAAAGGGTCTGAATACTTATGTAAATGTGATATTTCAGTTTTACATTTTTAATAAATTAGCTAACATTTCTAAAAACCTGTTTTTGCTTCGTCATTATGGGGTATTGTGTGTAGATTGATGAGGGGATAATTTTTTTAATCAATTTTAGAATATGGCTGTAACGTAACAAAATGTGGAAAAAGTCAAGGGATCTGAGTACTTTCTGAAGGCACTGTATGTTGATGTTGGGGTAGTGCTGGAGATGATGTATATGAAGTTGTAAATGTTTGATATGTTCCTTTAACACACCTCCTCTCTCCATGGGTCTGTTCAGGAGGACGTCAAATTACAGAACTAAATTGATCAAGTAGAACAGAAACGATTGTCTGTCAGATAGAATAGGGAATCATGTCATCTCTATTCATTCTATTTCTGTCTGCAACATACAGTGTTTCACACCCTGAATAAGTACTTACTCAAAAATGTTGAGGAAATCAATTACCTCATGTTTTTTTTAGTAATTAAACTTAAATGGCTGAAGTAACCAGTACATGTTTATTCAAGTTAATCTAAATGATGTCTTTGCCTGTTCCCTACAGCTGCAGTACTGAAGTATGAGAACAATGTGATGAACATCAGGCAGTTCAACTGCTCCCCTCACCCCTACTGGCTGCCCAACTTCATGGACGTCTTCACCTGGTCCCTGCCCTTTGTCGGGGAGAAAGGTGAGCGGGACACACACACTAACACACACACACACACACACACACAACACACAACACACAACACACTAACACACACAACACACTAAGACACACACTAACACACACAACACACACAGCACACTAAGACACACACACAAACACACAACACACTAACACACACACACACACAACACACTAACACACACACACACACACAATGACAACCCAGTCAAAAGTGAGGTTCAAGTTAATTTAATACGTTTAGGAAGCTGTTGTTACGGCTGTTATTAGGACTCCCATGCAGTGGTGGATATAGTCATGTCTAACCTATCAATCAAAAATATGTCCTTAATTATCACATCAAATGTCATTCAGCATAACGCCACAGGGTTGTCAAAAGCAATTTACAGTATCTTTGACTGCATGTATTTTAGTATAATGTGTCATAAGGCTGAAGGCTAGTGTGACATACAGTACCAGTCAAAGGTTTGGACACACCTACTCATTCAAGTTTTTTTTTTTGTGTGACTATTTTCTACATTGTAGAATAATAGTGAAGACATCAAAACTATGAAAGAACACATATGGAATCATGTAGTAACCAAAAAAGTAGTAACAAATCAAAATATATTTTATATTTGAGATTATTTCTAATAGCCAGCCTTTGCCTTGATGAAAGCTTTGCACACTATTGGCATTTTCTCAACCAGCTTTACCTGGAATGCTTTTCCAACAGTCTTGAAGGAGTTGCCACATATGCTGAGCACTTGTTGGCTGCTTTTCCTTCACTCTACGGTCCGACTCATCCCAAACCATCTCAATTGGGTTGAGGTCAGGTGATTGTGGAGGCCAGGTCATCTGATGCAGCACTCCATCACTCTCCTTCTTGGTCAAATAGCCCTTACACAGCCTGGAGGTGTGTTGGGTCATTGTCCTGTTGAAAAACAAATGATAGTCCCACTAAGCCCAAACCAGATGGGATGGCGTATCGCTGCATAATGCTGTGGTAGCCATGCTGGTTAAGTGTGCCTTGAATTCTAAATAAATCACAGACAGTGTCACCAGCAAAGCACCCCCACACCATAACACCTCCTCCTCCATGCTTCACTGTGGGAACTACACATGCGGAGATCATCCGTTCACCCACATCACGTCTCACAAAGACACAGCGGTTCGAACCAAAATTCTCCAATTTGGACTCCAGACCAAACGACAAATTTCCACCGGTCTAATGTCCATTGCTCGTGTTTCTTGGCCCAAGCAGGTCTCTTCTTCTTATTGGTGTCCTTTAGTAGTGGTTTCTTTGCAGCAATTCGACCATGAAGGCCTGATTCACGCAGTCTCCTCTGAACAGTTGATGTTGAGATGTGTCTGTTACTCTGTGAAGCATTTATTTGGGCTGCAATTTCTGAGGCTGGTAACTCTAATGAACTTATCCTCTGCAGCAGAGGTAACTCTGGGTCTTCGATTCCTGTGGCGGTCCTTATGAGAGCCAGTTTCATCATAGCGCTTTGTGGTTTTTGCGACTGCACTTTAAGAAACGTTCAAAGTTCTGGAAATGTTCCGTATTGACTGACCTTCATGTCTTAAAGTAATGATGGACTGTCGTTTCTCTTTGCTTATTTGAGCTGTTCTTGCCATAATATGGACTTGGTCTTTTACCAAATAGGGCTATCATAAGTTGCCATCATAAGTTGAATGCACCAATTTGTAAGTCGCTCTGGATAACCTCATGGATGTGGTTGAGAGAATGTCCATAGTGTGCAAAGCTGTCATCAAGGTAAATGGTGGCTACTTTGAAGAATCTCAAATATAAAATATATTTTGATTTGTTTAACACTTTTATTGGTTACTACATGATTCCATATGTGTTATTTCATAGTTTTGCTGTCTTCACTATTATTCTACAATGTAAAAAAAAAAAGTAAAAATAAAGAAAAACCCTGGAATTAGTAGGTGTGTCCACATTTTTGACTGGTAGTGTACATCCACTTTAATCTCCAGCACACCCAGTCACCCCTCCTTTGCATGTTGCTGACATCTACTGTACTAAAGTTGCATGACAAGTTACAATTTACATTCTCTGTTTAATTTAATCAATGTGTAAACTATAAATTATCTCATCCAAGACCCCCCCCCCCCCCCCCCCTCACACAACCCTCCCCCCATCTCCCTGTTCTCTCCTGAAGTGTAGTTCCCCAACCCATTCCCCAAACACTCTAGTTGGATGTCACATTTTAGACATGGCTTTCTAGCAGCTATTCCTAGCTCTCCCTCCCTCCCTTCCTCTCTCCCTTACTTCCTCTCTCTCACGGTTTCTTTCTCTCTCTCTCTCCCTCTCCACCCCCTTCCTTTCTCTCTCTCTCTCTCTCTCTCCACCCCCCTTCCTTTCTCTCTCTCTCTCTCTCTCTCCACCCCCCTTTCTCTCTCTCTCTCTCTCTAGTCACTGAGATGCTGGTTAACGTATTAAGCATCTGCTCCAATGATGAGCTGACGACAGACGAGGAGATCGACGGTAAGTCTGTGTGGTGTGCCATCGACTGTTACTATTTATTTTCGTGTTGCCACGACAGGTTAAATAAGCCCAATTCCCTTTCTCGCAGGTGCTCCCTCCCCTCTCTCAGTTTCACTTCAAAACTGTATTCAAATATAATTTAAGCAAAAGCTAAAAAGCAAGATCTAATGGCATGACATTGCTAACTTCACTCTATATGTATTGGAGTAATTGGAGAATGGGGAATAGAGCCCCAATGTTGAGTTAGTGGTCAAACAGGGAAATGGTTCCAATCGTTTTAAAAGTCACCTTGTCTGAGAGAGATTTACATGGTTATCAAAACGTCACGCCAGGGTAAGCCTACACGAAACACAGCCCTTATTTTAAGTGTTTCTAAAATCCCGTATTGGAAAAATGAATGGTGGAAAAACTAAAAATGACAATTTCCCTCTTTGACCTCTAGGTTATATGGGTATTATGACTCATACTGTGGGACTCTATAGGGCAAGGGAGGAAGGACAAGGTTCATTATGAGGATTGACTTTCTGTCTGTGGTTGACTATACTTCCCCTAGAGGGCAAACTCTACCAATGAAACACTCATCATCAGCTCAACACATCATACATTTGACATTTACCTTATTTGGATCCACAGTAGAAACATGACAGTGCAAGATGCCTACATGGATGCACACACACCACATACTCACACCACACACACTCACACCACACACACACCACCATTAACTTGCTTTATCTGCCCAATGCCTCTATTCCATGTCTGTATCCTATGTAACGCAGTTAGTTATGGTTATTATTATCTACTATGTAAGTTTGTTACAAAGGTCAACACATTCCACAATTCTATTCAGGTTGTATATCTATGGGTGGGTGGACCATGGCACCTTCCTGGTATTCAATGCCTCATGATTTCCATTTAATCATGATTCTCATTTCTTTCCTGTCTTATCTCACGGCTCATTCGGTTGGGTTCCATTTAACATTAGTAGGCTACATTTTCAACAGTGGTTGCCAACCGGTCGACCGGCATTCCTAGTCGATCAACAAACATTCTGTAGAAAAGCCAACGGTAAAGGCTTGCGCTCTTTATTTTTATTTTTATATTTTTTTGTGTTGCGCTGTTGGTGGTAGGTGCACTTGATTCAGAAGCCCTGTGCACCGGGTAAGCAAAGTGTTCCCATTTTGAACCATTTAATTTGTCTGTAAAGACAAACTCTGCCTACCCGACAGACTGGGAGATTTGTGGCTAAATCGAGTGCGCCTTCTGCGCTGGCCAATCGGATAGCTCAAATCACTGTGCCTACAGGGCTTCCACGACGCCGGCCACAGCAAAGTTTGATACTAGCCTACTTAATAACTTTTAAAAGCATGAACACAGAGAAACTGTCAAAGAATACAGCAAAGAGCTGCAATTTTTATGAGTGAGTTCATGTTTTTATTCAGCACTGTCACTGTTTTTATTCAACACTATTACAAAACATAAAAACTTGCTTTTCCATACTTCCAATCGTGCTGCAGCTGCAATGAATGAGTAGCCAAGTGTATCGATAACCCTGTGTTTTTATTATTATTATTAGCAGCTCATCATGTCTACTTGAATATAGAGGAATATTGTGTGCATGACTGAGGCAGATGTGCTGCGACTCTAGTTTCGCCATCAGGTGGAAGACGGTGTCTCCTCTCTCTGGTCAGTGTCACTGGAGGAAAGGAAGGAGAGAGCAGGGACTGTGAGAGGCGGACCCTCTGCTGCTCTCTCCCTCCCTCTGCTGAGACTAATGCTGTGTTCAAAACAACTGGGAACACGAAAATGTCAGACTTCCGACTTCAGTGCGTTCAAGACAACTGGGAACTCTGAAAAAAACGACATCCGACTGGGAAATATTGTTTTGAATGGTCATCTTTCTAGAGCTCCGACTTTCCAACCTGAATATCACTGAATTCATGATTTGACCTCAGGTTTTTTTACCGAGTTCCCAGTTGTCTTGAAAGTACCATGACAATCAGATGCAGGTACCATCAGTCCAGTAAAATAAAAAAATAAAACATTTATGCTCCACAGTGCCTCGCAAGTGCTACACCAACTGATCTATTTTGTTATCAAAGCTCGAGTTTGTAAATATAATATGGTCTTAGAATAAAAAAGATTGGCAGGCCGGGCAGAGAGCTAATATGCTGTGATAATGTATATTAGGCCTACTGCCCAAACATAATTCCTACAGAACTGTTTTTATTAGGTTAATGTTACACTGTTTCAGTCATGTTGAAAAATAAATCTGAGCGGTAGATCTCGGCTTGCTTTTTGACTGCGAAAGTGATCTTGGCTCAGAAAAGGTTGGTGACCACTGTTGTACAACATAATGGTCAGACGCATTGTCTAAGTAGAGATGGTTTGGAACACCCATTCCTAGATAAGCCCTAAATACTCCATCCTGTCACTTATTTACCAAAGTTAAACATGTCACCATAACTCTATAGTGAGGGGGAAGGAATGCTTAGGTAATATCCTGTTCCTGGATGGCAGGATGTGGTGTGTTATAGAAAACTGCTTCTAAACCTTGACCCTAACACTGGTTTGCCTGGCTACCAAAACTCCTTGCTCCGGCCAAACGCTGCACCACGCCCACGGATTATGGACCTGAGTACCTCCCCGACGATTTCAAGAATGCAGACACATTCTGACCGTTCTGATTGGTCCCAGAAACCGATGGGTTGGGCCAGAGCCAGAACGCACGTGGGTAAAGCGGCATTTTGAAAATTCGTCATTGGCTTTGATACTCTGATTGGTTTAGAGATAATCCAATCGCTGATGACTTTGATTTGAACAACACCCCTCATTTTGACGTCACTACAAATTACTTCAATGAAGGCAGTCTCAGACTGAAGTATGTAGTGAACATAGAGCAGTGAACATAGGTCATATCCTGTTCCTGTATGGCAGGAAGTGGTGTGTTATAGAAAAACGATTCTAACCCTTGACCTTAACGTTGGTAGCTGACAGACACTTCTTAGTCACTCAAAGCCTTGGTGACTAACATCTTATCACTTCCTAATGTTCTTTCCTTCACTGACTTTCTTCATTAGTTTAATATTCATTGTGTTGATCTTCATATTCTTTGTATTATTTCTTTTTTTTCTCTTCTCTCTCTCTGATGCTGTGTTATTTCATTATTTCCGTGGTTACCTCATCTAATTTGTCTCTCTTCTTTTCTGTTTTTCAGAGTTTTGTTTTAAGCCATTGCTTTTCTTTATGCTTCATGGGTGTCTGTTTGCCTCTTCTCTCTTTCCTCTCCACCTCCTCTTCCTCCTCCTTCGTTTCCTCTGTCATTCTTCGGCCATTCACTGATCTGTCTTGTCTTTTCTGTTCTCTTCTGGGGGTGTTCTTGAGAAGGACAACTAATATATGCCCCCAAGAAAGGTACAACCCTCAGCTCTACCGCCAATATACCTTTGTGTTGGTGCTTGCTCTTGCACATGCACTTTGGGAACCAATTAACTAACACAAGATGTAAATGTGTTGTAACATTTATGCTCAGTTTGGTAATTGATATTTATCAGTAAAAATATAATATATAATCGATCTATAAAAATATAGACAGTAGACATACACCCAAATTCAATCAATTGCATATAAAGGTCAACTGCACTGTAGGTTCACTCAGAATGTTGACACTATACAGTTTTGAGTCACACTTTTTGGATAGTCCAAATTTTCCATCTGTTGATGGTCTACAGATGGACATACTATTAACAAACTATCTGTTGATAAGCAACTGCTTGCTAAAGTTACGGTTAGGGTTAGGTTTAGAATAAGGGTTAAGTTTAGGGTTAGGATAAGGGTTAGAGAGCTAGGGTTAGTAGAAAGTTAGTGTAAATGCTTTTGATTGTCTGTAGAGCATCTACAGATGGACTATCCAAATAAAGTGTTACCCAGTATTTTAATAGACTGGTATAGTTTTGCGTGGTGAACAGCTTGCATGGTGTGTTGCCTTCAATACTGGTAACTTAAACATAGCTTAAACATTTTGAGTGAATCTGCAGTACGGTTATCTGCACATGAGTGAATTAGCGTTAGCCTATAGCTTCAATTGAAACAGTGCAGCGTAGTCAGTCCTTAATATGCATTGCCTCTTTCCTGTGTAGAATGCCCAAAAGTCCAGCTGTAGCTCAATGCTACAGAAGATGGGATACTCAGGACTGTCCCTAGTGGTCCAACCTAAGGGAACACACTCCACTAGAGTCTCTCACTGTTCTCTGCATACTCATACTTCTCTCTCCATATACTTCCAAGCACTTGTATTAATTTCCATCTCTCACACTCCACCTCGCTACCATTTTCCAAGCTGGGTCACAAAAGGGTCCTAGTGTCAAACACAAGTCATCCTGTCACAACACACAAGCTCCTAAACCAGGCTATATTCTTCACCAGGCTATATTGTTCACCAGGCTATATTCTTCACCAGGCTATATTATTCACCAGGCTATATTATTCACCAGGCTATATTGTTCACCAGGCTATATTGTTCACCAGGCTATATTATTCACCAGGCTATATTGTTCACCAGGCTATATTATTCACCAGGCTATATTGTTCACCAGGCTATATTGTTCACCAGGCTCTATTCTTCTTCTCCAAGCAGAAACAGAAACCTGGGTCGTGTTCATTAGCGCACACTGTTTTGCAACCGAAAATGAAAACGAGCGTTTCTTATTGGACAAGTTCAAATAGTACCTCCCCATTTATCTCTGTTGAAATGTTTTCTTCCAGTCCGTGCCAACTGAACACGACCATGTTAGATGACAGCTTTAGGCTGTGTTTACATCTTGTTAGTTCAGAACCATCATGGGCCTCACAAAGGCATTGCAGATTAAAAACAGTAGTCCTAGCAAAGGGAATCTGATAGAAGGTCATCTGCAGTGCTTTTCAATGTCTGTGATTAGGCCAGGCAGAGTGTTTGAGGGACTACTTTATGGATGAGTGTCTAGAAGCTTCCTCTAGACAGGGTAGAGGTGATGAGGCATCGAACACCAAGCTTCACCTCTTTCTCCGAAAGCCTTTCATACTAAGACTGTAGACATAACCAGGGAATTGCAGTGGTGGAGTGAGATTCAAAGTACTGGTTCGGTTGGTTTTACTTTGAACTTCAATAACTACATAGTGTATTTTGATGTGATATGACACTGTAAGACTCCTGTGCTAAACACATTTGCTAAACGATCAAATAAATGTCAACTAAACATTTAGGATAGGATTCCTTTGTATCAGTAGGATTCACTCAAACACGTACACTACTTAGACACACAAAACACAACTTAGTGTTACGTTTTACCAGCTCATGTCTGGTAATGAGCACACCTCAAAGAAAATGCCTCACCCAGATAAGCAGACATGTTGTGATGGTTTGAAGCAGCCTGACTGTCTGACCTTGAGAACTGCGTGCGTGCATGTCTTATAGGTGCCACAGCCGCTGCACGCAAGGAGGTCATCAGGAACAAGATCCGTGCCATTGGCAAGATGGCCAGGGTATTCTCTGTCCTAAGGTATTTATTAGGAATCATGTATGTCTAGGTGTGCATTTCCTGTGTACCAATGTTTATGTATTTTATAATATGTGCCCAGTTACATGATCCTAGGCAGAAGTAGTTACACTGTACTTTACAGGAGTGCAATTTTACATCAAAAGGCAGTTTTTTTGTTGCAGAAATGTCTGCATAAACGTGTCTTAGTAACAACCCACTGGGCACAGACGTCAATTCAACGTCTATTCCACGTTGGTTCAACATCATTTCATTGAAGTGACGTGGAAACAACGTTGATTCAACCAGTGTGTGCCCAGTGGGAAACTCACAGCTTAGAATAAGGCTGCAATGATAAGCTTTTAACAAAGGCTTATATAAGTTACTCAGTGGGATTCAAAGTGTGTGTCGTGACCCCTAGTGGGGTCGTTGGGGAACTGCAGTGGGGTTGCCAATTTATTTAAAAAATAATAATAATAATAGTACAGATTATTATATGGGACAATATTGAGTAAATTTATTTTTTGGTTTCTTTTCATTTTGATAAGAGATACATTTAATGAATTTAAGATTATTTGTTGATGTAAAATGTACCAATTTTAAGGTTTTGTCATTAGATTTTGGGTGGGGTGGGGTCGAGAAATTCTTATGGAAAAAAAAATGGGGTCCTGCTAAAAAAGTTTGAATACCACTGACTTAGGTATTACTTGTTAACGTATAATGTATTTGATTAAATACTTATTTTTGGCATGGGGCATCGGCCAACCTTCTGTCTCTTCAACTGTCTGAAAAGCTCTTTCTGTGTCTCTTTTAACTCTTCCTGTTCAGTGCTCATTTGTCTGTTTAACCTCTCGCTTCCTGGTGCAACTCCCAATAGATGATGTCATTTCATAAAGCTGAAGCAATAGGAGCAGTAACTTTCATAAACATTGAGATAATCAACAGCTCGATGGTTTGTTGAATCATGTGTGCTAGTATAAGGCTAGAAACACAGGACGTTGGTGGCACTTTAATTGGGGAGGAAGGGCTCATGGTAGTGGCTGGGGCGGAATATGTGGAATGGTATCAAATACCATTGTTCCATGTGTTTGACATTCCATTAACTCTGTTCCAGCCATTATTATGAGCCGACCTCCCCTCAGCAGCCTCCACTGGCTAGAACAACAATGTGTGATGTTGGGAGTACGTGAGACTTGAGAAACACTTTTTTGAGAAGTTGAGAAACACTATTTCACATGAAAGCATCAGTTCTGCATGCTATATTTCCATCTGAACGTTGCTTAATGTATTTTTCCCCGTGCAGGAATGAGCTTGCTAAAAGGCCTACATGTTCTATGGGCTATATTTCTATCTGAGCGTTGTGTCATTTGTTTGTTTGTTGTCCCTGCAGGGAGGAGAGTGAGAGTGTGTTGACACTGAAGGGGCTGACCCCCACCGGCATGCTGCCCAGTGGAGTGCTGTCCGGGGGCAAGGAGAAGCTCCAGAATGGTAAGCCCCACAACACACACCCTGGACCTCCATGTCCAGCCCACAACACCCCTCACACTCCCCAAGCCCCCATGTTCCGCCCCCCTCACCACACACTTATATATAAGATTTTATTAGCAATACATCTACCTCAAATACCTGATACTTATTTAGCCCTTTTTGGGGGGGGATTTTCTCTTAAACCTGGTATATTTTATACGACTTTTATGTCGTAGAACACAGTTGCAGCAGTGGTAAATACTATGTAACTACCTGTGGTTCAGCGTTTCCCAAACTCAGTCCTGGGGACCCCAAGAAGTGCACATCTTGTTATTTACCCTAGCACAAAACAGCTGATTAAATAATCAATTCATAATCAAGCTTTATTTGAATCAGCTGTGTAGTGCTAGGGCAAAAACCAAAAGGTGTCCCCAGGACCGAGTTTGGGAAACCCTGCTGTAGTTCAATTCAGCCGTTATTGCAGCAGAGTTACCCTAGAATAGGCTATTACCTAAGTACTGCGAAGTGTTGCCCCTTTCTCTGGTGGTGGCTTCAGATAATACAGCCATTAAATGTTAGAAGTTGACTTTCTTTGTCCCAGTTGTCTCTTCTAATGCTGTCTTGCTCCCCCCTCTCTCCACCTTTCTCTCTGTAATCTACTGGTTATATCTCAAATATTGTCTGTGTGTTCTTCTTCTTTCTCCTCTCTCTCTAGAAACCACAGGTATAATCTGTTGTGTTCTGTCAGCAGTGTTTTTGTGAGAATATTGTAGAATTCACCCTCCCATGTTGAATTCCAAACACTCCCGAAACCAGTCTGACGATCGATCGATCTCCTTTACGTGACAGACTAGCATTAGAAGATGCTTTGCCACAGGGAAGTCGTTTCTTCCAAAGATTATTAGTCGAATTGAATCATCTACCCACTGAATCGGGCTACAACATAGCCAATTTAGAATTTCAATTGACTTTCTATAGAACAAAAACATTGATTTTACAAATTGTAAGTCATTTCTAAGAAGTCAGGGAGGCTAAGGATCGACTACGATTCAGATTAATTGGAATTGACATAAACAACTGTGGATGGAAGGGGATCAATGTTGTCCACCTTGTCATCCACAAACAAGGCAGAAATCCAAACAACTTCACTCTCCTCTCTTCGGCTCTCTTGGTTAGTTTGTCTCCTCTGTCAGTTTTTCTGCCAGTTGTTTTAGCATGTAGGCCTGCAGAATCATGTTTTCTATCCTCTACTGATCCCATCTGACACTATTTCTGGGTTCACTTCCTAAGGATCACTTTTCCCGAAGTTAACCACAGAAATTCTACATGTTTGCCCTCTGAACAGTATTCTATATCTCTATCTCAAACACACACACATACGCCGATGCATATACTCACACGCTGCTATTGTTGATTCGGACTGCATAGGAGCAACCATGTAGTTCCCAGTGAGGCAACGATGGGCCAAAGCCATCCAATTGAGAGGCAGTAGCGAGGACGAGCCATTTTGGGAGGCAGAGTGACGTTTGAGAGATTGTCTGTCACAACATCGGTAGAATCACAGCTCACCATAGGCTCCTATTGTTCAGATATTCTCCAATGTGCTTCTACTGCAATGTTGTGCAATCCATCAACCACTTGGTTTCATTTGGACCTCCTTATAACTTACCTGTGTGTACGTCTCTCCTGTGCATTATGTACTGTATTATATCTCCATAGCAACACACACCTGTTCAAGTGTAGAGCTGTAGCCGCTAAGTATTTGTTTATTTGCAGTCCAACTCGTACCCATTTATTTGTCTGTGTGTGTACCACCTGACTACAGAGTAAATTCTGTATTTCTGGTGATAAGTGTTTGACAATAACTACTGCTATAAAACAGAAGGATTTGGACAGTAAGTGGTAAGTGTATCAAAGTGTTGCCATGATGTGTTTTTTAAAAGGTGCGTCTGCTCTTTTGACGGTTCATTTCAAAAGACACGGCTGCGCAACAGTTCTAGATAGCTGTTTCCGAGAACATTAAGAGTTCTTCATGTTTTTATTTTATTTGACCTGGTCTCGGTTATTCAGTTGCAGCCGCATTCTTGACTTTGGCAGAGTTGTCTCTGTTTTCACTCACACGTCTTTATGTACTGTACCCCAACTCCTGTTAAACACCCCTGACGTCACCCCCCTCTAAGTGTGTAGTTTGTTGAGTGAGGATACGTCAGACATCCACTGTTCCCCTTTGATAATCACTATTGTAACCCTCTCCAGTTCTACTTGTCACGGTGTCCCCCGTCCAGACGTCCATTGTCTCTATTCATCCAGCACCGCTTCTTGTCCCTTTGTCAAACACGGGTGACGTTTTTACAAAGCTCAAAATACCAGCGCACCACGCATTTGTCTACAATGGGTATTTGACTGGCTCCATTCCGTCTGTCCCCTTTTTGGTTTCCTGCCTCCTACATTCTTTGTCCGTCTTAACACACCCGCTTTGTCCCTCCTCCTCCTCCTCCCCTCTTTTCTCTAACATCCATGTGTTGCCTCTGTCTGAAAACATGGAGAGGTTTTTTAACGTTGTTGTCTTTGCATTGGCTCTCTCTTTTTGCTGCTCATTGACCGGTTCCTGGGAAAAACCAAATGAATTCCTCGCTGGTCACCCTTCTTCTCGTTCGTTTTGCAACCCCCATCTTCTTCTCTTCAGCTACTATTGAGGCTATTGAGGCAGATGAAGGTAAATAGGCCGGCGGCCCTCTCTGTTGCTTCTTATTGCAATAGACAGTGCCCCCCCCCCCTGCCCGCCCGCTGCGTTTTCATCCATTTAGCTGTAGCTTGTTACAGAGTGTGTTGGGTGTTTGGGCTAACAAATTGTGGCATAATAGTTGAACAAAACAAAACACCCCCCCCAGAAAAAACATATAAAACGGGGGGGGGGGGGGGAGTACAGAAAAGCTATGTTTGTTTTAAAGGGTCAGGTGGTGAGAGCATTAAGTGAATTACTTTTCTTTTCACCTGCTAGGATATAGCCCCCCCCCTTCCCCTCCCTCCTACTCACAAAGTTTTTAGTTTAGAGCTCGATTCAACCCGCAGCGCAGAAGGTCTGCGTTGTAGTGCAATTGACATATAAAGGCAATGTTATCGTGTTCACGGAGACTGCATTCACGGTAAACGCTGCATTCATGGTAAACGCAGATCTTCCGCGATACGGACTGAATCGAGTCTTGATCCCCTCCACTAAATATTGCCCAATCATAAGTTTCTCTAAAAAACACCAACCAAGGATATTATGTCACACCTGTGTCTTCACACAACACCCCATGCCCTTGTACCAACTCACCCACCGACTCAGTCCTGCTATGAAAGACCCATTAGATTTTCCCCCTTTGAAACAACTTGCAGTTGTGCTTTGTTTTTTCACTAATATACAGTATGTTCGATAGAAACAAATCAGAACAAAATTTGCTTTCCCAACAGAGGCTTTGAAAGCCAAATTGGACTCCAACTCCAAAAGCAAATGGGCAAACAAACCCATGCAACAAAGAACAACCTCAACTACGCAGTAAATAGCGGTTTGCTAGCTAGCTGCTATTTACGTTGGAATTGTTCAGCAACTCCTCTTGAGCACGCCCTAGAGGATTACGTGCATCAGTCCCGAGACTCATTTTTCCTTGGTGGTTCCTCTGTGGCTCTGCTGTGTCGTGTTCTCTTTGTTGAGCTGCTAATAACCTGTGTCTGACCTGTGCTATGCAGCAACACAACTATAAGTCCCATCAGCCCCCTCTCTCTACACCCATAATTCCACAATATCGGAAATTCCTCCAAAATGGCGCCCCCCGATCCAGAAATAGGTTCTCCTGAAAATGTAGCTACCCACAACCACTATACCCCCCTTGTCCCTTATTAGTAATTTGCTGCATGTTCTGAGCAGGCTTAACAAGTGATTAGCATCAACTACCTCTGAAGTAGTGTATATCAGAGGAGGCTGGTGGGAGGAGCTATAGGAGGACGGGCTCATTGTAACGGTTGGAGTGGAATCAATGGAACGGAGTCAAACGCTTTGTTACCGTGTGTTTGGTACCATTCCATTGATTCCATTCCAGCCATTACAATGAGCCTGTCCTCCTATAGCTCCGTCCACCAGCCTCCTCTGGTGTCTGTGTATGTGAGCGTGGTCTTTCTGTGGTATACTGTATGTTTCAGTTTCGTGGGCCCCGCTCTCTATTTTCCAATTTTGTTGGTCCTTTTGTTTTGTTTGTATAGTACGGTGATGGGGAGGTCTGGTCCTGAGGATCTTCAGGTGTTTTAATTGTGCCTTTATTCAATATGCACTCCGTTATCTATAGGTTTATTTTTAAATAGAAGATCCGCTGCAACATTGTGTTGTTTTACTGTTTTTACTTCCACATTACACTACATTCACTTCCACGTTGAATCATTTGCACATTATTCAATTTGCACATTCATTTGACATACTTTTCTGTTTGAGTCAATTATGTGATTTATCAGTAGTGTTTTTACTTTTGAAAATCTGTCCTTGATTGAAAGGCAATGGCACAATGACAACCTGTTGTCCTGCAGCACCAGACACTCAGCTATAGTTCAGTAGAATTATGTCATCCTTTTGTCAATCATTTCGGTAATATGGTAATTGGTGTTGGTATTGTGTTGTCATTTATTCTGATGAATTGTTCATATTGATTGTATTATAGTTCTTTGCCATCTTCAAAAGGCAGAATGAACTATATAGGATGGTTTTACCTATGATATTCCAAGATGAGAATAAAAATATGATATGTTATCCATAATCTACAAGGGCGGCAGGTAGCCTAGCGGTTAGAGCGTTGGGTCAGTAACCGAAAGGTCGCTGGTTCGAATACCCGAGCCAACAAGGTGAAAAATCTGTCGATGTGCCCTTGAACAAGGCACTTAACCCTAATTTGTTCCAGGGGTGCCATACTACTATGGCTGGCCCTGTAAAACAACACATTTAACTGCACCTATACATTGTATGTGACAGTAAAACATTATTTATTAATTTCAGTGTTCAAATGTCTCTGCAGAAAGAAGTTAAGTTATAGACTTATATTAGATATACACTGAGTGTACAAAACATTAAGAACACCCACTCTTTCCATGACAGACTGATCAGGTGAAGGCTATGATCCCTTATTGATGTCACTTGTTAAATCCACTTCAATCAGTGTAGATGAAGGGGAGACAAGTTAAAGAAGGATTTTTAAGCCTTGAGACAATTGAGACATGGATTGTGTATGTGTGCCATTCAAAGGGTGAATGGGCAAGATAAAAGATTGAAGTGCCTTTGAACAGGGTATGGTAGTAGGTGCCAGGCGCACCGGTTTGTATAAAGAACTGCAACGCTGCTGGGTTTTTCACGCTCAACAGTTTCTTGTGTGTATCAAGAATGGTCCACCACTCAAAGGACATCCAGCCAACTTGACACAACTGTGGGAAGCATTGGAGTCAAAATGGGCCAGCATCCCTGTGGAACGCTTTCGACACCTTGTCCCGACGAATTGAGGCTGTTCTGAGGGCAAAAGGGGGGGGGGGGGGGGTGCAGCTCAGTATTAGGAAGGTGTTCCTAATGTTTGGTATACTCAGTGTACACACACGCATTCATACTCTAGTTATTTCTATGAAAACACTAAGCAGATGAAATAGTATAGAAATTGTTTTTTTTCCTCAAATAACTATTTATATTGTTAGAATGATGATGCTGTGGTTTCTGTCGGTTGGCCTACTAGACCTCTGCTAACAACCATCAAGTGACATTTCCATTCAGTGCAATGGTTTATATAGCCAACCACTTCAGAAACAGAGATTTTCATTCGTTATTCTGTCATCACATGACTTGATTCACAATGAATTATTGACGCTGAACAAAACCAAAAACAACTCAAAACACATTGATGTGTCTGTTTCTGCATGTAAACCAGAAATAAGTAACCTCATATTTTACATGTCTTCTCTACCTCTAAATCACCCCTCCATTAATGTTCCCCTCGTCCCCCACTCCCTCTCTCCATCCTCCAGCCATCAAGGGCTTCTCGCCCCAGCACAAAATCACCAGCTTCGAGGAGGCCAAGGGCCTGGACCGCATCAACGAGCGGATGCCCCCGAGGCGGGACGGCCTCCCCTCCGACGCCAGCCTCAACTCCCTTAACAAGGCTCTGTCCTCGGAGACCAATGGCACGGACGCCAAGGACAGTAGCAGCAACATCCAGTGAAGGGGCACGTTCCACCGCGGCGGGTGGTGGTGGCAGCCTGTGGCGACCAGGGTGGGGCGTTATACCACCCTCCTCCTCGTCGCAGTCTGCCACGGGCGGCATAGCGGGGGCAGCAGGGTGGAGGCGAAAATGGAGGGACATGATCAGGAATGCGCTTACAGGAAGTGGTGCTCACAGGAAGTGGCGCGTACAGTACAACAACTACAGGAGAGAGTCTTTGGGTATGCCTTTAAAAAAATTACTTGTAGAAACTACAGAAAGTTTTCGCATTGTTCACTCTTTCGGGCCCTTGGCCTCCTCGAACCTGGTGATGACGTGCTTGATTCTGTACTTCAGTACGAGAGAGACAGACGGAGAGAGAGAAAGAGATCTTAAAGGAGATGTTTTATGAAAGCCCCTCACTCATTTTACTGCAGGGCTCTCAAACCCTGTTCCTGGAGAGCTACCCTCCTCTAGGTTTTCGCTCCAACCCCAGGGTTGGAGTGAAAACCAACAGGACGGTAGCTCTCCAGGAGCAGGGTTGGAGAGGCCTGTTCTACTGGATATGAAAATGTTGTGTAACTTCTTACTAACTATTGTACGTTTACAAAATACAGCACTAAAAAGGACAGAACATTAAAAAAATGTTTTTAACATAAGGGTGTACAAACTAAGTAAGGAATATTTATTGATAACTTTTTTTGCTACTCTTATAAAATAGTTCTCAGATAAATTAGGCAGTCTTAAAAAGAATGTTGCAACCTTGTTGAAATGCCAAAAATGGAATGTTTTATGGTTTTGTACAGATTATGCTTACCCCAGGTTCATTTGGTGTGCGCTTTTGACCCGGATTTCTGTATAATGGCTAATTATTACCTTGGTGATGAATATCTATTTTGGGGGGAGTTTCATAACTGGAATTTACATGTATCTATTATTTGCAAATTTAAAAAAATGTTTTGGGGCTATAGATTTTATTGTGGCTTGCTGGAATTCTGTGAGTGTTCATTTTTCTCTTTTTAAAGTATTGCGAACAAAGTAAACGTAAATAACTTTTATTGTGTAAAAAAAGACAACCTGAAAGTGTCTGCCTATGCATGTTTTATAAACTCAAACAAAGGAAGTGGATAAATTAATTGAATACCTTGGCTGCCGAGGCCTGTTTTTGAAATGTAGTGCGCTTTGTGAACATATACTGGCATTCATTCAATTAACACCATGAAACTGCTGTATATGCCTCAACTTCTTTTATGAAGCATTTAATTATCTGACATGCGCTCACAGTCAAATTTAGTATGTTTGACCATTCTTGTGAGGTTTGTGGTTACATGTGGAACTCAAAATGCATGATAGCTGTTAAAATCATATAACGGTTTAGACATTTTTGTTCTGTTGTAAATGTGCCACAGAAAGTGTAATTTGATTATTGTTATTATTTGGAACTCTGCTTTGTATATCAGTTACAGGTTTGTTACTGCTCAATAAAACAAAAAAACTCCATGCCTAAGTAATTCACTACATGACATGAAGCCTTGCTTTTGTAATTTAACTTCGAAACAGTTGGCAGATGAAGCATGAACTAGCAACTATGAAAAATTATTTTATATTACTGTTCAATAAAATTTTTTGCATGAATTTCAACTTAAATGAAACTGTTTTTTTTGTGTGTGATATAGCCAGACTTTCCTCTTCTCAGATTTCAAGTCTGCAAACTGAAAATCAATGTAAACATACAAAAATAAAAATGTATTACATTCTAAATATATACTCTTTTGGACATTTTTGCATGATGACTGTGAGTGATGACACAGCAGTCGCCAAAACATTCATAATGAGCACTTCATAAATTATTATTTATATCATATTTATTTCATAAATTGGATTTCACTGCTGTCTCCCAACAAGTATGTATCTCTCTTCTCGCTGGAACTTAAGAGACTAGGCTTAAGGCTGTGCAAAATTAGACAATATAAGTAAAGTATATTGACCTGGTGGGAATTGGCCTATAAGGATAGGGCTAAATGTAGATGTTTCTTACAGAAGAAATATGAAAAGCAGATGCATAACAGAGGTAGCAATTGAAAGGAAACATTTAGGAGTTTATGGGGAAATTATTAGACCAAAAGGTGAGGACACAACAGTTCACCTGACACAAGCTTGAATCCAAGCATTACACTGCTGATTGTATGTGCATTTTACATTTACTGTACTTTTCGCCACATTTGTTGATAACGAAATCTGAAAATACTCTGGAAACATTTAGTAACAAAATAAGAATATTCCTGGAAAATGTGGGGTAGGTGCAACATAAGACAAAAAAATGACAAGGGTTTGAGTGAGAGGTCTAACTGGTGTCTCCATGTGGCCACACCTCTCCAAAGTGTGAACTGTTCCTAAGTAATTTCAGTGCACTTTTATGACTCAAGAAGAGTCTTCAACTATAAGGTGATTATTTGCGCTCTCCTAGCTGTGCCATTGAGGAACTAGAGCAAGCACACCCCCCCATCACACAATTACTGTTGTTTACGCAATCCAAAAAGTTCCATTATAAATCACAATCTGGGTCAGGTGCAGTAGCGGTGCGTGGGTAAAATCACCGGGGAAGCCAATCCAGAACAAAAAGCCATATTACAACCAATGTGTTGTGATAATTGCGTTGTTTGCTCTATAACCTGTTAGTTCATATGCCTTGACACTGTGATATATAGGCCTAAAGACAATAAGAAAGCACAGTGGCAGAATAAATTCAACCACATATTTGTTTCATTACAAAACCAGAGAGCAACATCTGTCCGGTGAAGTCTACAAAACATATTGCATGTAATAAAAGGTTACATGACCTACAGCATGGTCAAGCAAGGTAATATTTCAGACATTTTTCGGACTACTAAACAACTATTGATTTAGAACTACAGAGAGTTACCGCAAATCGCAAAGAAAACAGGAACTGCCTCCACTATTCCAGCACCATTTCAACTTCAACATTTCAACATAATCTAATCACCTATGCTTAGTCTAATACAGTGACAACTATACTGAACAAAAATGTAAACGCAACATGTAAAGTATTGGTCCCATGTTTCATGAGCTGAAATAAAAGATCCAAGAAATGTTCCATGAGCACAAAAAGTGTATTTCTCTCAAATGTTTTGCACAAATTTGTTTACATCCCTGTTAGTGAGCATTTCTCCTTTGCCATGATAATTCATCCACCTGACAGGTGTGACATATCAAGAAGCTGATTAAACAGCATGATCATTACAGAGGTGCACCTTGTGCTGGGGACAATAAAAGGCCACTCTAAATAAAAATTCTGTCAATAATGGCTTTTGACTTGTGATCTGATTGGTCTAAAGCCAAATCCAAACTGGCTTCCTTTGACACTTTTTTTTGGTGCGCCAGGACCATTCACAGGTGAGCTCACTCAGTTTAGCTCAACGCTGATTGGCTATTACTTTATTAATTTTTTTATCAAGGAAGGCCAAATGCTCGCTGGCTTCCCTTGCATTCAATGCTACGGGCGGCAACAATGTCATACTCTTTCTGACCAGACAGCATCAGATAGATGGGCTACACATACAGAGACAGAGGGGTGCGGTTTCGCTCGCTCGGATGCTTTCTCTTGCGAATTGAAGGAAATGTATGAAACACAGAGAGATGAAAGATTATTTTGTATGTACTTTTTCCTTGGTACATTTTTTGGGGAAGGCTGGCTTCCCTTGGCACCCATGAATACATGCCACTGGTCAGGTGGGCATAATTTGAGACCTTGTTCTATTGCCAACATGACTAGCTAAGTTATAAAATACAACCTTACAGTGTTAGGCTTTCACAATGCAATTACATTTACATTTTAGTCATTCTTATCCAGAGCGACTTACAGTTAGTGAATACATTTTTTTTTTTATACTGGCCCCCCATGGGAATCGAACCCACAACCCTGGCGTTGCAAACGCCATGCTCTATAAACTGAGCTACATCCCTGCCGGCCATTCCCTCCCCTACCCTGGACGACGCTGGGCCAATTGTGCACCGCCCATGAGTCTCCCGGTCGCGGCCGGCTGCGACAGAGCCTGGATTCGAACCAGGATCTCTAGTGGCACAGTTAGGAGCAATTCAGAGAAACATAATTTTGGTGCGCATAGAAAGGAGTCATGAGTGCATTCAGGTGCGTGTCCTACACAAATGTTCTTCCCAATAGACAAACATCGGCTCATTCTGTTTAGAACAAACCAGGGTATGACGGCATGTCATCTTGTAACTGTACATCAAACATAGTGATCATAAACATTGACACTGTATATGGCATGAGTTTTATGATGTGAAAATGTGAAGTGCACATTTGGACTGCTTGTATGACATCAAATCGGTATTTATTATAATCATCAACGTCTCATCTTTCAAAATAAATAGAGTCCTCTTAAGTTACAGCATTTCCCTCACTCAAGTTCAGAATGTCTGTCAGTCAAAACCCATACAGCGCTGTGAAGCGCAGAGCCAGAGCTCTGACATCATGTATAGCATGTTACTGTACAGCCACAGCGTTCCAATTTAGGCGCTTATCAGTGGCCAAATCTGCCATTTTCAACCCGTATACGGGTACGAGTGTAAAGGGCTACAGCAATGTCTTATTAGACAAACTTAAAAGTGAGTACTGGACAGGTTATTTCAACAAGGGAATTTGGCCTTGGCCAGTAATAAATAAGTGCACAGGAAATTAGTAGAAAAGGTGTTTACTTTGGAGCACATTATGAACGTCTTTGATTAAAGTAGGAAAACATTGGGTGGAGTACCAAAACACCTTTGTGTGTGTGGATGGGAATGTTTACGTCTCAACAACTGGCTGGAACATGTGGAATGTATTATTTATTTATTTTATATTATTTTGCTATTAAAGGGGTTGCATAAGTGTGGTACATTGCAAATATAATGCTCTTAATTAATCTATTAGAAGGTATTATACAAAGTAACTTTATACACAACCTTTACCCAGTGTTATGCTTCCAGTCCAAAGTCAATGATGTGGGGAAATGTGACTTTTTTTTTGCGAGGGTAGGATCACTTTTCCCAGAGAAAGCCTGTTCCTTTGGGAAGATGTGTATTGCCTGCGATGCTTTAGATATTTCCTTAACAAACACATTCCCACCCTGATTCTGACCTTTGATCAATGGCTGTATTCCCACAGAGCAAAATCAAATTACAATAGGGCCGGACCCTTCACTTTTCTCAGAATTCCCCTTATTGTGATAAGAGCCATTCTGGGAATAGAAATCCAATAAATTGCTAGTTAAAAAAATGCTACGAAACAGATTGTTATTTATTGGACCATAATAATAGTAACAACAATGATAACGATCATTGATAGTAATTCCTCAAAATATTTAACCTCGGTAAATTCAATAAATCATATTGTGTGTTGACCAATGTTAGCTTTTTAAAGCCACACTCTGTAAGATGTGCATATCATCAAAAAGTAGGCCACCAACATTTAAGCTTTGGCGGGGCTCTGACAGTGTCATTTACAAGTCTGAGGTAAAGCTGTAGCCAGATTTTGAGTCCCTCCCAATGGCCCTTGTCAGATTTGTTCAGTTGTATGTGAGTCACAATGCACTTTGGAAGGAAGCGGGTTCTAACATCCTGTTTAGGGATGGCCAGAGAATTGGCATTGGAAATAAATGTTTTGTCACATACACCGGATAGTTGCAGTGAAATGTGTTGTTTTACAGGGTCAGACATAGTAGTACAGCACCCCTGGATTAAATTAGGGTTAAGTGCCTTGCTCAAGGACACATTGACAGATTTTTCACCTTGTCAGCTCGGGTATTCGAACCAGCGACCTTTCAGTTACTGGCCCAACGCTCTAACCGCTAGGCTACATACACTACTTGCATTCTTGAGTGAAGTGAATGTCACCCTCAATACTATAACAATAACATTCCCAAGCAAACAGTGTAAGGTAATCTGCGTGCGTGACACTCCTATGAAAACAAATAAGAATGGAAAACGTCATCAATGGTATTCGATCTGCTTCACACTCTTCCGCTTCTTGCATTTTCTTCAACAATGAGCCGACTTCACCAATCCCATCGAAAAAATAATTTGTGTATTTGAATATATGAAACATGCAGTTGTTCACTGCCCATCTAAGAATGAGATCCCTTCACAAAGAGATGTGCTGCCTCTGCTCCTACTTTGTGTTGGTCAAAGAATAAGTGAAAATAATGAATTTTCATATTGATGGCTTTAAGTTGCTATAGGTCATAATGCTGAGATGTAGCCTATTTGGCATTGTTGCAATAGAGTATTAGGTGATCTCTACAATGCAATACATTTAGTAGACAGTCATTTTGACACTTAAAACTATTTTTTTACATGAAAACTTTTTGACACTTAGTACCTTACATTCATTTATCAAACAATATTGACTACATTTTCATTGCAATTGACTACATTTTCATTGCAATTATATTTACATAATAATATGATTACATAATAGATCTAATCATTGTTTTATGTGTATTTTGGAGTTATGGGAACAATTTATTTGTTTAGCCCTTTTTAATTCTCATTTACAACGACTTATGGAAGACTTGCAGGGAATAGACCTGTAAAATAAAGTGTACTGTCTGTTGTGTAACCGACAAATTGCTCAGAAGGGAGGCAGGGTAGGAGAACAATGCTGATTCTAAAAGGTAGAGAAGGACCAAGCCTGATTATTGAGGGAAGGGCTGATTAAAACATATCATCCAACCCTCCTTCCCACAGCTATGCTAATGTGCACTGAACAAAAATATAAACGCAACATGTAAAGTGTTGGTTCCACGTTTCATGAGCTGAATAAAAAAAAACTGACATTTTCCATACTCACAAAAAGCTTATTTCGCTAAATTTTGTGCACAAATTTGTTTACATCCCTGTTAGTGAGCATTTCTCCTTTGCCAAGATAATCCATCCACCTGACAGGTGTGGCATATCAAGAAGCTGATTAAACAGCATGATCATGACACAGGTGCACCTTGTGCTGGGGACAATAAAAGGCCACTCTAAAATGTGCGAAATTTTCGGTCTACTACACTGCTATTGATTTAGAACTACAGAGAGTTACCGCAAGTCGCAAAGAAAACAGGAACTGCCTCCACTATTCCAGCACCATTTCAACTTCAACATTTCAACATAATCTAATCACCTATGCTTAGTCTAATACAGTGACAACTATACTGAACAAAAATGTAAACGCAACATGTAAAGTATTGGTCCCATGTTTCATGAGCTGAAATAAAAGATCCAAGAAATGTTCCATGAGCACAAAAAGCGTATTCCTCTCAAATGTTGTGCACAAATTTGTTTACATCCCTGTTAGTGAGCATTTCTCCTTTGCCAAGATAATCCATCCACCTGACAGGTGTGGCATATCAAGAAGCTGATTAAACAGCATGATCATTACACAGGTGCATCTTGTGCTGGGGACAAAAAAAGGCCACTCTAAAATGTGCAGTTTTATCACACAACACAATGCCACAGATGTCTCAAGTTTTGAGGGAGCGTGCAATTGGCATGCTGACTGCAGGAATGTCCACCAGAGCTGTTGCCAGATAATTTAATGTTCATTTCTCTATCATAAGCTGCCTCCAACGTCATTTTAGAGAATTTGGCAGTACGTCCAATCGGCCTCACAACCGTAGACCATGTGAATGGCATTGTGTGGGCGAGCGGTTTGCTGATGTCAACGTTGTGAATAGAGTGCCTCATGGTGGCGATAGGGTTATGGTATGGGCAGGCATAAGCTACGGACAACAAACACAATTGCATTTTATTGATTGGAAATTTGAATGCACAAAAATACCGTGACGAGATCCTGAGGCCCTTTGTGAGGCAAATTTTTTTGGGGGGTATCTGTAACCAACAGATTCATGTCTGTATTCCCAGTCATGTGAAATCCATAGATTAGGGCCTAATGAATTGATTTCAATTGACTGATTTCCTCATATGAACTGTAACTCAGTAAAATCTTTGAAATTGTTGCATGTTGCGTTTATATTTTTGCTCAGTATAGATCTGTGGCTCAAGAAATGATCTGAAGAACTGACATTAACCACTAATAGGTATGGCTCACAGTTAACTGTTCATTAAAACAAACTGTAACGAAGACGATGGGGTGTGCCTCTCACCATCTCATTAGAGTTTGGTGCCAAGCCCTAACTAGTGGCCCTAGCTATATTAAAAGGGTCAAGTGAGAGTTGCAACTGACCACTATATTGGTTTCAGTTAACGTGGTTCACATAACAAGAGTAACAATTATTTGTAACCTTTTATGAGTACATTTCAAAATGTGGGTGTCTCAAGGGTAAGCTGAAGAGCTGAACATGCAGTTCAGTTTCAGACAACACTGTTTTCCTGAAAGCCCATTCTGAGGGGTATACTATAAAGCAGGATCAATGAGTTAGCCAGCTAACTTAAATAAACAACCAGAAATAACTATTGATTTTCTGGTTCATTAAGAAAGCTAAATTTAGATATGTGTTGTTGGTTGTTGAGTCAATTAGACCATGCCAATTTCAAGCTTATTTTTCCAAAAAAATAAAAGTTATTTAAGAATATGATCTGGCTAACTCCTTGATCCCACTGTACCCTCCTTGATCCAACTGATACTGTTGTTTCGGGTCATTCACAGCCCATCCTAGTCAGACACTTATTAGACTCCTTCACACCAGTCACGTTGCTCCTGCAACGTGAGGTCAGGAAAAAATAAGTCACCGGAGTTAGCGATGGAGTACAAACATAGCCTTGAGGGCCGAGTTCCTTTCCAGGCTGGGGCCCGAGAAAGACTTCTCTCACTGGCCGACGCAGCCTCCCCATCCTCTCCAGACCCCTACCCTCCGCCCTCGAGGGAAATTGCTCTACTTCCTCCCCTTCTTTCTCTAAAGGAAGTGACAAAATAAGCAGCAATGGGCCAGAATGTGAACACCTTTCCACTGGTTGATAGCAGTGGCTCACACAGCTCTGAAGAACCCTAAGAAGCACCCTGGAGGGGAACGCTCAGTAGAAGCACCATGGAGACCGTTAGGATAGCCCTCCTCGTCCTCCTTCTAACCTCGCTCCAGCTCCTCACAACAGGTAAGCCTACAGGGATATTTAGACCAAAATGACCACTAACTGGCTTGGATAGGAGATCGCATATGGTGACAAAGGACTGTTGTCTCACAGCCAGGAATGTTGCCTAAAATGTTTAATTCAATTAATAATGGGTTTTAAAAGTTACACAGTTACAAAGTGTTTAACACTGTTGGACAGAGTTTGGACAAGTTTTAGTTAGGCAAAATGGATGCTTGGGAAAATAGGTAAAAAGACTTGCCAGTAGTTGCATTGTATAGTGTTTTATGTTATTTTGTCTGGATGAGTAGAATAATTGTTTTTATTGGCTTTTACTTATTGTCTTAATCAGACTTGGTTTGCAAATAAAAATATCTTGCATATGGACATTTGGGTCATTAAATATCTTAGTATAGTATGACATGAAACACGACTGGCGATCACAATCAAGGTATTCAGAACAGTATGTATGCGAGTTGTTCTAAGAGACAGGCTCACACTTTGAACATTTCTCCAGGGACGTCCAGTGATGCCTAAGTGCATTTTTCCATTGGTCCAAGCCTGAGATAAGAGCAGCGTTGTTTTTTGTTGTTGTTGATGGGAATCTTGTGTAGTGTTCCCATTAAAACGGTATATTATCCTAGTCAGGCCCCATGTGGAGGAAGGTGCAGCCTCAAACCTTAATAAGGTGCTATGAATGTTAATAAAGTAGTATAACACTTCAGAACACTTCGGGTTAAGGTGCGTCAAGTGTTACCAGGAGACCTCCCCAAGTCGCCCAAGAGCAGCTCCTCAATTCAAACTTTATTTGTCACATGCGCCGAATACAACAGGTGTAGACCTTACCGTGAAATGCTTACTTACAAGCCCTTAACCAACAATGCAGTTCAAGAAAGAGTTAAGAAAATATTTACCAGATAAACTAAAGTAAAAAATTATAAAAAGTAACACAATAAAATAACAATAACGAGGCTATATACAGGGGGTACCGGTACCGAGTCAGTGTGCGGGGGTACAGGTTAGTCGAGGTCATTTGTACCTGTAGGTAGGGGTAAAGTGACTATGCATAGATAATAAACAGCGAGTAGCAGCAGTGTAAAAACAAAGGGGTGGGGGTCAATGTAAATAGTCCAGGTGGCCATTTGATTAATTGTTCAGCAGTCTTATGGCTTGGGTGTAGAAGCTGTTAAGGAGCCTTTTAGACCTAGACATGTCGCTCCGGTACTGCTTGCCATGCGGTAGCAGAGAGAACAGTCAATGACTTGGGTGACTGGAATCTTTGACAATTTTTAGGGCGTTCCCCTGACACCGCCTGGTATAGAGGTCCTGGATGGCAGGAAGCTTGGCACCAGTGCTGTACTGGGCTGTATGCACTACCCTCTGTAGCGCCTTACGGTCAGATGCCGAGCAGTTGCCATACCAGGCGGTGATGCAACCGGTCAGGATGCTCTCGATGGTGCAGCTGTAGAACATTTTGAGGATCTGGGGACCCATGCCAAAAAAATGTCAGTCCTCCTGAGGGGGAAACGGTGTTGTCGTGCCCTCTTCACGACTGTCTTGGTGTGTTTGGACCATGATAGTTCGTGGTGATGGAAGGAACTTGAAACTCTCGACCCGCTCCACTACAGCCCCATTGATGTTAATGGGGGCCTGTTCGGCCTGCCTTTTCCTGTAGTCCACAATCATCTCCTTTGTCTTGCTCACATTGAGGGAGAGGTTGTTGTCCTGGCACCACACTGCCAGGTCTCTGATCTCCTCCCTATAGGCTGTCTCATCGTTGTCGGTGATCAGGCCTACCACTGTTGTGTCGTCAGCAAACTTAATGATGGTGTTGGAGTCGTGCTTGGCCACGCAGTCGTGGGTGAACAGGTAGTACAGGAGGGGACTAAGCACGCACCCCTGAGGGGCCCCAGTGTTGAGGATCAGCATGGCAAATGTGTTTTTGCCTACCCTTACCACCTGGGGGCGGCCCGTCAGGAAGTCCAGGATCCAGTTGCAGGGGGAGGTATTTAGTCCCAGGGTCCTTAGCTTAGTGATGAGCTTTGTGGGCACTATGGTGTTGAACGCTGAGCTGTAGTCAATGAACAGCATTCTCACATAGGTGTTCCTTTTGTTCAGGTGGGAAAGGGCAGTGTAGAGTGCAATTGAGATTGCGTCATCTGTGGATCTGTTGGGGCGGTATGTGAATTGGAGTGGGTCTAGGGTATCCGGGATGATGCTGTTGATGTGAGCCATGACCTGCCTTTCAAAGCACTTCATGGCTACCGACGTGAGTGCTACGGGGCGGTAATCATTAAGGCAGGTTACCTTCGCTTCCTTGGGCACAGGGACAATGGTGGTCTGCTTGAAACATGTAGGTATTACAGACTCGGTCAGGGAGAGGTTGAAAATGTCAGTGAAGACACTTGCCAGTTGGTCCGTGCATGCTTTGTGTACACATCCTGGTAATCCGTCTTGCCACGTGGCTATGTGAATGTTGATCTGTTTAAAGGTCTTGCTCACATCGGCTACCGAGAGCATTATCACACAGTTGTCCGGAACAGCTGGTGCTCTCATGCATGCTTCAATGTTGCTTGCCTCGAAGCGAGCATAAAAGGCATTTAGCTCGTCTGGTAGGCTTGCGTCACTGGCCAGCTCGCAGCTGGGTTTCCCTTTGTAGTCCGTAATTGTTTTCAAGCCCTGCCACATCCGATGAGCATCAGAACCGCTGTAGTAGGATTCAATCTTAATCCTGTATTGACGCTTTGCCTGTTTGATGGTTCGTCTGAGGGCGTAGCGGGATTTCTTATATGCGTCCGGATTAGTGTCCCACTCCTTGAAAGCGGCAGCTCTAGCCTTTAGCTCGATGCGGATGTTGCCTGTAATCCATGGCTTCTGGTTGGGATATGTACTAATGGTCACTGTGGGGACGACGTCGTCGATGCACTTATTGACGAAGCCAGTGACTGAGGTGGTATACTCCTCAATGCCATTGGATGAATCCCAGAACATATTCCAGTCTGTGCTAGCAAAACAGTCCTGTAGCATAGCATCCGCGTCATCTGACCACTTCTGTATTGAGCGAGTCACTGGTACTTCCTGCTTTAGTTTTTGCTTGTAAGCAGGAATCAGGATGATAGAATTATGGCCAGATTTGCCAAATGGAGGGTGAGGGAGAGCTTTCTATGCTTCTCTGTGTGTGGAGTAAAGGTGGTCTAGAGTTTTTTTTCCTCTGGTTGCACATGTGAAATTAGGTTAAATGGATTTAAGTTTGCCTGCATTAAAGTCCCCGGCCACTAGGAGCGCCGCTTCTGAATGAGCATTTTCTTGTTTGCTTATGGCCATATACAGCTCGCTAAGATTCTCTGTCCTGCCGATGCATGGAAAATACCGCCAGCTCTATATTATCTGTGTTGTCGTTCAGCCATGACTCTGTGAAACATAAGATATTAAAGTTTTTAATGTCCCGTTGGTAGGATATTCTTGATCGTAGATCATCCATTTTGTTTTCCAATGATTGCACATTGGCCAATAGGACAGATGGTAGTGGAGGTTTACTCACTGGCCTACGAATTCTCAGAAGGCAGCCCTTTTCTCCGTCTTTTCTTCACGCAAATGACAGGGATTTTGGCCCGTTCCCGAGAAAGCAGTATATCCTTCGCGTCGGACTCTTAAAGAAAAAGTATTCCTCCAGTTCGAGGTGAGTAATCGCTGTTCTGATGTCCAGAAGTTCTCTTCGGTCATAAGCGACGGTAGCAGCAACATTATGTATACAATAAGTTAAAAAAGAAGTTACAAACAACGCGAAAAAACCAACACAATAGCACAGTTGGTTAGGAGCCCGTAAAACGGCAGCCATCCCCTCAGGCGCCATCACTTAAAGGTTGACAGGGAGACCAACCAAAGCTGTTGGCAGGACATTGAAGCATCCCTGTTTTACTAAAGGTCTATTGTAAGACCAGATGCACAACCGAAATAGTCTTTATTAGGTGTGTGTGAGGAACGCTGTTCAGCACATTGTGTGCTTTACACCTACACTGAGTGTACAAAACATTAAGAACACCTGCTCTTTCCATGACATAGACTGACCAGGTGAAAGCTATGATCCCTTATTGATGTCACTTGTTAAATCCACTTCAATCAGTGTCGATTAAGGGGAGGAGACAGGTTAAGTAAGGGTTTTTAAGCTTAGAGACAATTGAGACATGGATTGTGTATGTGTGCCATTTAGAGGGTGAATGGGAAAGACAAAATATTTAAGTGCCTTTGAACAGGATATGGTAGTAGGTGCCAGGCGCACCGGTTTGTGTCAAGAACTGCAACGCTGCTGGGTTTTTCACGCTCAACAGTTTATTCTGTGTATCAAGAATGGTCTACCACCCAAAGGACATCCAGCCAACTTGACACAACTGTGGGAAGCATTGGAGCCAACATGGGCCAGCATCCTTGTGGAACGCTTTCGACACCTTGTAGAGTCCACGCCTCAACGAATTGAGGCTGTTCTGGGAGGAAAAAGGGGGGTTGCAACTCAATATTAAGAAGGTTTGCTTAATGTTTTGTACACTCAGTGTATATTTCAAGTCTCCGCAAGTTCAGTGAATTTACGCAACAAATTCACTTAAGATAAAGTTTAGCCATCCTTGGCAATCTTTTCAAGAGACATAATGCATCGGACAACACGGATAATAAGACAGAACATATAGGAATAAAAAACATTGTTTGACGTCCAGGCCCAAGACAGATGAATGTGGTTACTTGGGCTAGTGGAAAATAAAAAGAGGGAGTCTCCTGATTGTTTGTTTTGATTGGAGCATAGGCACAGATCCAGGACCTGCGCTGCCCAGAAAGGTGATTGGAGCTGTAGATAGCCAGTGGGAACCAAACTGCTCCTTCTCTAACAGAGGGAAATAGATCATTGTCCTGTCCCTTTCAAAGTGAAATAATATGATCCAATCAGCAGCAAATCTCCTTCCTGCATGAATCTAAACATCTGCAGGAAACACCCAAGCAAAGCCCTAGTGACTACAGTGCAAGCCTCCATTGAGTGGACAGAGAAAGGTTTTTTTTTTCCCCCTTGCAAATATGTTCCACCATAATATATACAAAACGAAATTGATAAAGGGTGAAGTGCAAGTGTATTTAGCCTACATTGTAGAGTGTGCTTTCCATTTGTCTGAATCATGGAAATAGTATGTTGCCATAATGTATAGTACTTCTGAAAGGGTGGGGCCAGGGGTGAATCTACCGACACTGCCGATGAGGAGTGGGCTCTGGACCAGACAAAATGCAGCTATAGCATCGGGAAAAGAGGCAAAAGCAGAGCTCTAGTGTTGGGTTACATGCTTAACAGTCAGTGGGAAACGTCAAGCACTAAGACACAGTCTAGCTGAAGCAGCAGCAGCAGCCTCTGACAGGGGAGAAGACAGGAAACCCTGCCTGGCCCTTTGGCTGTTGGGGCCAGTAGGGGTCAGGGGACAACAACACTCTGTCTGGGACAGGATGCAGCTTTTCACAGGTCTGGGCCTGAATCAGAGGATATCCACCTCAAAGGCTGCGTTTAGACAGGCAGCCCAATTCTTATATTTTTACACTAATTGGTATTTTGACTAATCACATCAGATCTTTTCACATCAGATCCTTTTCAGAGCTGATCTGATTGGTCAAAAGATCAGTTACCCCTGTATATAGCCTCGCTACTGTTATTTTAATGCTGCTCTTTAATTATTTTTTATTTTTGAGTTATCGATTTTTTACTTAACAACTATTTTTCTTAAAACTGCATTGTTGGTTAAGGGCTTGTAAGTAAGCATTTCACTGTAAGGTCTACACCTGTTGTATTCGGCGCATGTGACAAATAACATTTGATTTGATTTGATTAGGGGGGGAAATACCAGAATTGGGCTGCCTGTCTAAACGCAGCCATTGTGTCACAGACGAGGCGGCCTTCTCAGTGGCACATCGTCAAAAACATTTTTTTTATTAAAATAGATGAATGTCAGACAGTGGTCTTACAAACTGTGCCAAACAGGAACGACACAATTGTCTACCCTTTGGATCTAAAAAGGGACAAATACTTTTGAGGAAATGTTTTAGCGACCAAGATAGCAATGGTGACTTTTGATCTCTTTGTAGTGCTCATATCCTCTAGATATCGTTGTAGGATTTGGATGTTCAAAAGTTGCAGAGCCGCACTTTACAGAGAATTAGTCTGCAGGTGAAGCTTATTGCTAAATGTGGTACAATTACGGGTTCTCTTAGCAGGAAGTATCCGCCTACAATATATTATATTATATAAATAAAAAACTAAACTTACTGAATCATTTAATTATTTTTGTCTTCCTCTCGTCTGTTGTTTGGTATGGTTATGGTGTTGCCACAGAAGTTAAGTATCGTTAAAAAAAGACTGTTTGCTTCACAGTGCAATCAGAAGACCCATTTCAACAATCAACAACAGCGAAACCATCAGATGCAATTACATGTAGGTACATGTATATTATAAAACATTTGTGTTATTGAGGTAATATTTCAAGAGACAGTGATAGTAATTTGAAAAAATCTCAGGGATTCCTGATTTTCTTTTTATTACAAACAAAAAATGAACACTCAAGAGGCTGGTTGCATTTTTAAGTCTGAAAGATTTTTGCATCACCTGCTGCTGCAATGTTTTGTGATTTGAATCTTATTCATGAGTTAGAACATCTTTGATCTGTCATCACAGCAACTGAGAAACCCACCACGACTGTTCATCTTGTGGCTATTTCAGCCACTGTAACGGTCTTACAAAATGTTTCTGACACCACTGTGACCCCAAACAGTAAGTAAAAGAAAAAATGTCAAAACATGGTCTCATATTCAAACTGCTGTATTAATCTCTAGTTCAAATAAGTGTCAGAACATTAGGACATTGTAACATTAGAAAATGTTCAATCTTTAGAAATTGGTACAGTATGCTGGTGTAGAAACTCTGCTATTAACACAGCATCATATAATGCAAAATACATAATACTGGCTGTATTTCTGTATTTTGAAAGTCATATTACATTTACATTTTAGTCATTTAGCAGACGCTCTTATCCAGAGCGACTTACATGAGCAATTAGGGTTAAGTGCCTTGCTTAAGGGCACATCGACAGATTTCTCACCTAGTCGGCTCGTGGATTAGAACCAGCGACCTTTCGGTTACTGGCACAACGCTCTTACCCACTAAGCTACCTGCCGCCCATATCCCTTGTGAACTTGATTGCTGACATGCAAAACATTTTTGGGACTTTATCAATAATGGACTAAATACCAAAATATTGTTTTGGGGTGGAATTTTCCTTTAAGACTGATTTTACATTCCAGAGACAGAGGAGAAATCTGCCTCAGTCCCTGCTACATCAGCAGTACCAGCAACAAATACAACAGAAAATACAATGAATTCATCCTTACCCCAAGATCCAGTGAGTTCCACATCTCCACATACTAAGGATGATGGTGAGACTTCATAAACATTTCATTTAAATTGGCCATTGACATTTCATTTATGATATTGACTTTATAATATTGACAGTATTTAATACTGTCTTCTCTATCAACTGCATTTCTATACAATAGGTCAGATGTGCTCACATGTGATTGTGGAATAAGCTCTACAGATGTAAAACCAGACCATATATACAGCATCTCAGAGTGCTGATTTAGGATCAGTTTTGCCTTTCAGATAATAATGAATAAGATTACATGGACAGGGAGGACCTGATCCTAGATCAGCACTCCTACTCTGATATGCTTGATACTGCCCCAGATCTTTTAAATGTTAGACATTTTCTGAACGAGTGCATTCTACCTCTTTCGCAGAGGCAACAACAAAAAGGACCAAGGCCATAACTGCTGTTACCCAGAGTGACCCACTCCCCCAAAATACCACAGCTCAGCCAACCACAAAGCTCTTATCAGGTAAGATAATATTATTTTACCCTCTCTCAAATTACAATAGAGATAGGCTAGATGATAGCAAGTACTGCATTGGGTTAACGATACCATGACCCCATAACAATGTTTTGCCATTAATGTTTTCTTCAGGTTCAAAGGATGAAATTACAGGTAAGTCTAAAGCACTATCACTGTCCCTCAATGCACTATTTTGTCCACTACCTGTATAGGAAAACAAGATGGAATACTGATAAAAATGACAATGTTTTTCCAGGTCAAGAAAGAAACAAGAACAATGGGAATATGGATCAAGATGCTGGTAGGTCCTCTGCTACCATCATATGTATAGGAATCAACTTACATTGCCACGAATGGTGCTCCATTTTCCTTGCACTGAAAAACACACAGTCAGCAAAATAACCGTAACATTTTAAATGGATACATTATCCAGATGACAAGTTACCTACACTATATATACAAAAGTATGTGGACACCCCTTCAAATTAGTGGATTTGGCTATTTCAGCCACACCTGTTGCTGACAGGTGTATACAATCGTGCACACAGCCATGCAATCTCCATAGACAAACATTGGCAATACAATGGCCTTACTGAAGAGCTCAGTGACTTTCAACCTGGCACCGTCATAGGATGCCACCTTTCCAACAAGTCAGTTCGTCAAATTTCTGCCCTGCTAGAGCTTCCCCGGTCAACTGTAAGTGCTGTTATTGTGAACCAGCAAAGGGGGGACCAACTCCATATTAATGCCTATGATTTTGGAATGAGATGTTCGACGAGCACGTGTCCACATACTTTTGGTCATATAGTGTATTATGCAACTAGCATCTCCTTGTGGTCATCGAAAGTTCAAAGTTACCGCATAAATCACGCTGCAGAGTATATATAATTTTTTCTACTCAGGTCAACAGGCTAGAGGTGAAGAGACGGAAGCTCTTAAATCAAGTAATGTAGCAACTTTACCTCAACATTTATGTTCTACCACACCCACCAGAGGGTGCACACACTTCACTTTTGACTGGGTTGTGTGTGTGTGTGTGTGTGTGTGTGTGTGTGTGTGTGTGTGGTGTGTGTGTGTGTGTACAAAGTCAATAGTCAAGCCATGTTTGATTACAAATCATCATAAATTGCCTACATTACACATTGTCCCAACAATGGTACTAATCCAACTTCTCATGGGATGTGAAAAACAACTGTTTTGTCTGCCACACTAAAGAAAGATATGCCTCCTCTGTCTTCAGATAAGAACCTGCTGTGGATTCTTTTGCCAGTCCTGGTAGTTGTGGTGGCTGCTGTCATCTTCCTTCTGAATAGTAAATGCATGAAGGACCACGATCACACAGGTACTACTTAATGACTGAGATAGATGCACAGCATTATGTCAACATGTCTATTACAAACGAAATATCACTAATTAATCTATTTTTTTTGTCTCTGAACAGAGATAACTGATAATGGAACAGAAAAGTAAGTATAGTCGTTGGACTGTACATAAAGATACCATTTGGACAGGACCCCATTTGAACAGTTCAATTATAAACTGGGTGGTTCGGGCCCTGAATGCTGATTGGCTGAAAGCCGTGGTATGTCAGACCGTATACCACGGGTATGACAAAACATTCATTTTTACTGTTCTAATTACGTTGGTAACCAGTTTATAATAGCAATAAGGCACCTCGGGGGTTTGTGGTATATTGCCAATATACCACGGCTAAGGGCTGTATCGTGTTGCATCGTGCTTAAGAACAGCCCTTAGCCGTGGTATATTGGCCATATACCACACCCCCTTGGGCCTTATTGCTTAAATATACCGTGATCTTGTCAAAAAAGACTATTTTACTACCAATATGCCCTGCTGTCTCCTCTTTGCAGTGCCTCTTTCCAGAGCAGGCCAGACAGCGGCAAAGATGGTGTCATGCTTCTCGGGGTGAAGTCTTCAGGTGGTGAAGACAATGGTACATTTAAACTGTTTACTTACTAGCAGGTTAGCACGGTCAATGGTGTAAGGTACTTAAGTAAAAATACTTTAAAGTACTACTTAAGTAGTTTTTTGAGGTATCTGTACTATATTTTTGACTACTTTTACTTTTACTTCACTACATTCCTAATGAAAATATTGTACTTTTTACTCCATACATTTTCCCTGACAAACAAAAGTAATAAATGAATCATTTAGCAGACGCTCTTATCCAGAGCAATTAGGGTTAAGTGCCTTGCTCAAGGGCACATCGACAGATTTTTCACCTAGTCGGCTCGGGGATTAGAACCAACGACCTTTCGGTTACTGGCACAACGCTCTTAACCACTAAGCTACCTGCCGCCCTACTAAATATTGAATGCTTAGCAGGACAGGAAAATAGTCAAATTCACGCACTTATCAAGAGAACACGTGGTCATCCGTACTGCCTCTGGTCTGGCGGACTCACTAAACACAAATGCATCTTTTGTAAAAATTTCTGAATGTTGGAGTGTCCCCCTGGCTATCCAAAAATTAAGAAAACAAGACAATTGTGCCGTCTGTTTTGCTAAATAATAGGAATTTTAAATTATTTATACTTTTACTTTTACTTTTGATACTTCAGTATATTTAAAACCAAAAACGTTTTACTCAAGTAGTACTTTACTGGCTGACTTTCACTTTTACTTGAGTAACTTTCTATTAAGGTATCTATACTTTTACTCAAGTATGACAATTGGGTACTTTTTCCACCACTGCAAACGGTGAGGTGGTGTTATACTGTGTACTTTCCAGCACACTTCCAGCAACTATGGTGAATGCATAACCAGGCCAGTGCAGTTCAGCTTGGCTTGGCTCAGTAGTGTGAAAATATTATAACAAGCAATTAGTCTATTCCGTTCCCATGACTCCTACCCTTCAAGTGAAGTAAAGACAAGGAGGAACACTTCAATAAAACGTTAAAAAGTTCAAGAGAAACATGCATACCATTAGTCTTCTTCTTCTACTAAACTTTTCCAAGTTCTCACACTCATTTCCACCATCCCTCTACATTACAACTTTGTTTCATCAGGCGTGGACCTGCAATTATTCCAGGGAAGCCTGGAGCTTTTAATATCTCATTGTGCATGTTCAGTAAATGGGCCTGGGCTGCGGAGAACAGGGGAAGGTGTTTCCTGTGATTTCTCATCCCCATCCTTGAAAGACCAGCAGAGGATGAAAGATGGGGACTTCCTCACACAAACACAGAATATTTTGGACTGGCCCTATTGTGTGGAGCCCTGGGCCGGCAAATGTCAATGTGCCCTGGGTGGACCCTGTGTGTGTAGTTTGTGCCTCAGGCATATATTAGGCCTACTTCCCCAAATGGGAATTAGGCATACAAATCCCCACCTTCCTCTCTTTTCACTGTTATCAGAGCCTCGATCTGTTGGCTGGTAAACTCTGATATCTGGACAATAATACAACACTGACCTCTACTGTTCTGTTGAGCATCCACGAAGCAGGACACAATGTTATGGAACATTCAGATAGAAATGTACTATGCAGAACAAGCATGCCTCACTGTCATGTAAAATAAGGAATTACGTTGTCTCTATTCATGGCATTTCGTTCGACAACATTTGGCTACTGATCGTGGCCCAGGATATTCCTATTCTAATGGGAGGGAAGTTGTAATATAAGGAGCGATCTCATTTATATAACCCCACCTGTCAAATTAGATCCTGTGTTAGGGTTTTATAATACATAACCAGTTTGTGGATTTTGATCTCTCCATTTCAGCTGCTGCAAGATAAAAGGGAGGCCATCCCATTCTAATGAGGCCATCCCATTCTAATGAGGCCATCCCATTCGAAATGACCACTGGATGAGGCTGAGCTCTCACAACCCGGAAAATGGTCCAGACCTTCACCTTCAACGATCTAAACATAATGGACTATCAAATATGGCGTCACAGAATCCCAAAGGTTACTAAAGTGGGAACATTTGTATATGGTGTGGAAAGAATATTGGTGTGTGAGTATTGTAGGATATTCTCCCGAGTGACGCAGTGGTCTAAGGCAATGCATCGCAGTGCTAGCTGTGCCACTAGAGATCCTGGTTCAAATCCAGGCTCTGTCGTAGCCGACCGCGACCGGGAGACCCATGGGGCGGCGCACAATTGGCCCAGCGTCGTCCAGGGTAGGGGAGGGAATGGCCGGCAGGGATGTAGCTCAGTTGGTAGAGCATGGCATTTGCAACGCCAGGGTTGTGGGTTCGATTCCAGTATAAACAAAATTTAAAAAATGTATGCACTCACTAACTGTAAGTCGCTCTGGATAAGAGCGTCTGCTAAATGACTAAAATGTAATGTAAATGTATATGGGGCTCTTAACTGAACACATGTCTGTTAGAAGATATAGATTTTTTTTTTTTATATGTACTTCACTGTTTTGTGTGTTCCTATTTTCATGGTAATTTAGTCAAGGAGGAATTGTGATTTTAATTGAATCAAGATCAACATCCAGACATTTTAGTCAGGAAAACAATGCAGGATTCGGAATGAATGTGAATAAATTAGCTCAAATTCTCATTGTCTGAGTGTAAGAAGATTGTTTGTCTCACCCCTGTATTCAAGATACTGCTTTGGATTTTATAAAACACCCAAACATGCATGAAATCCAAATGCACTGAACCTGAATTCAGCACACAATTCCTCGATTTAAACCTGAATTCAACACACAATTCCTCGATTTAAACCAGTTAGTGACCTGTACACATGGTTAACAAGTGTTTGTATGCGTTAAACCTGTTTAAAATAATGATTTAGTTTTCGGTGTAAATGCCAGGATTTTAAAGATAAGCTCTTTTACCAGTTTGTTTCCTGCTTTTGAACATGTTATTTTGTATATTAGCTGTTGTCTGTCTGAAACCTATTGTCAATGTTTCCCAAGGAGGGTTTGGCTTTGTTTAATCACAGATGTATGATCTACTAAATTTTTGGTGAAACCAAATAAACTCAATTTTTGTTTCTGTTTTGTAAAGGAGCAATCCGTAAGATTTCCCTCTGGTCAAAGATGATTAGAATTTCTCAAATAAAGAACAGCGCTATTTGACTGATCGACATTGGTTGAATATTTGTTGTTTTGCACCCGCACATGCTCACAAGAGTTTGGCGCCAGGAATACAATGCATAAGTTGATGTTGATTTTGGATGTTCACTACACCTGGCTACACACCGTATCTGATTGATTCAAATGTGCTGAGTTATATAATGCACCATTGGTTCTTACCGGTATGCAAATAAGCGGACCTTATAAGCGTATCGTATTCCCATACAGTAGACACATTTTTCATGGACCGCAAAGTCCAGGCCAAGCTGCTCCCATCACTCCTGGAGGGTTTGCAGTGATAGTTCCAACCAGGTTGTCTTTCTTTGCTGTCAAACTGCACAGATGATCAGATGTCACAATGCCTGTTTGTCTGAGTAACCATATTAATAGGCTATATTATAACATCTACTTGATTGGCCTCCCGTAAAGTGTCTACTTCCTCATCAAAAGAAACAACATAGCTAATGTAGCCTGCTAGCCTTATGGAGAGAAACCTTTCAGAACTGCACTGCCGAAGAATAGCACACCAAAGAGGGTTTTGTCCCTTTACAAGACATTACCCTCACTGGGGCAAACAAGGAGGAAGCGGTGATGAGGGTGGTGAAATACTGCTAGCGCAACTGGTGATGATGAGGAAGGAGCTTCTGCGATATGTAGGTCTTCACAAAGGTATGCATAGAGTTGTTGTCCATCTAGACACTCAACCTCTCAGTGCAGGCCCTGATAGAAAGGGTGGACAGACTCCAAGGAATACTCTCTTATTGGGCTGATGGAACACACAGATGCACCAGCCAGATGTTCAGATGTACTCCAGTTCTCTCCGAGAATGCTGACTAGGAACACTATGATACACCAGCCAGACCAACAACCACACAGACTCCTCAACAAGAAAGACCATGATACAGCATTACCATGTACGATCTGCTCCTGGACTTACTAAGTGCTGTTCACTGGACCTTATGATCACTCAGCTAATGCCTGCTGGACTGTTCCTTTACACGGTACCCTGTCCTCTTTATCCGTTTAGCCTCAGCCCAAACTTTTGTCGCCATTACCAGTTGTTGTCTTAGCCCTCTCGAATAACACCTGTGATTGCGTTATGCCTCTCTCCCATGTCAATATGCCTAGCCATTTGCTGTTTGGGTTAGTTCTTATTATGCAATTTCACTGTAGAGCCCCAAGTTCAGCTCAACCAGCCTCAGAGAGCTCCTTTGTCCCTTTGACCCTTTGACCGGCTCAATCGGTACCTCCAGTGATGCTATCTCTTTAGTTACCCAATGCTTAGGTGTACCTCCACTGTACTCATATCCTTGTCTGTACATAATGCCCTGAATCAATTCTACAACGCCTGGAAATCTGCCCCTCTTCTCTGTACCCAACGCACTAGAAGACCAGTTCTTAAAGCCTTTAGCCGTATCCTTATTGTATTCGTCCTCTGTTCCTCTGATGATGTAGAGGTTAACCCAGGCCCTGTAGCCCCCAGTATCACTCCTACCCCCCAGGTGCTATCATTTGTTGACTTCTGTAACCGTAAAAGCCTTGGTTTCTTGCATGTTTTTTTGGGACATTTTAGTCATTTAGCAGACACTCTTATCCAGAGCGACTTACAGTTAGTGAGTGCATACATTTTCATACTGGCCCCCCGTGGGAATCAAACCCACAACCCTGGCATTGTAAACGCCATGCTCTACCAACTGAGCTACACAGGGCCATGTTAACATCAGAAGTCTCCTCCCCAAGTTTGAGTTATTCACTGCATTAGCACACTCTGCCAACCCTGATGTTCTAGCAGTGTCTGAATCTTGGCTTAGGAAGGCCACCAAAAATTCAGAAATGTCCATTCCGAACTACAACATTTTCCGTCTAGATACAACTGCCAAAGGGGTTGCAATCTACTGTAGAGATAGCCTGCAGAGCTCTATCATACTATCCAGGTCTGTGCCCAAACAGTTTGAGCTTCTACTTCTAAGTATCTCCCTGTTGCCGCTTGCTACAGACCCCCCTCAGCCCCCAGTTGTGCCCTGGACACCATATGTGAATTGCTTGCCCCCCATCTATCCTCAGAGTTCGTACTGCTTGGTGACCTGAACTGGGATATGCTTAACACCCCGGTCGTCCTACAATCTAAGCTAGATGCCCTCAATCTCACATCAAGGAACCTACCAGGTACAACCCTAAATCCGTAAACATGGGCACCCTCATAGATATCATCCTCACTAATTTACCCTCTAAATACACCTACGCTGTCTTCAACCAGGATCTCAGCGATCACTGCCTCATTGCCTGCGTCCGTAATGGGTCGGCGGTCAAACGACCACCCCTCATCACTGTCAACGCTCCCTAAAACACTTCAGTGAGCAGGCCTTTCTAATTGACCTGGCCCGGGTATCCTGGATGGATATTGACCTCATTCCGTCAGTAGAGGATGCCTGGATGTTCTTCAAAAGTGCTTTCCAGTCCATCTTAAATAAGCATGCCCCGTTCAAAAAATTCAGAACTAAGAACAGATATAGCCCCTGGTTCACCCCAGACTTGACTGCCCTTGACCAGCACAAAACCATAATGTGGCGTACTGCATTAGCATCGAACAGCCCCCGCGATATGCAACTTTTCAGGGAAGTCAGGAACCAACATACACAAGCAGTTAGGAAAGCAAAGGTTAGCTTTTTCAAACAGAAATTTGCATCCTGTAGCAATAACTCCAAAAAGTTTTGGGAAACTGTAAAGTGCATGGAGAATAAGAGCACCTCCTCCCAGCTACCCACTGCACTGAGGCTAGGAAACACTGTCGTCACCACCGATAAATCTACGATAATCAAGAATTTCAATAAGCATTTTGCTACGGCTGGCCATGCTTTCCACCTGGCTACCCCTACCCCGGCCACCAGCTCTGCACCCTCCGCTGCAACTTGCCCATGCCCCCCCCCCCCCCCCCCCCCCCTCCTTCACCCAAATTCAGATAGCTGATGTCCTGAAAGAGCTGCTAAATTTGGACCCCTACAAATCAGCTGGGCTAGACAATCTGGACCCTTTCTTTCTAAAATTAGCAGCCGAAATTGTCGCAACTCCTATTATTAGCCTGTTCTACCACTCTTTCGTATCGTCTGAGATCCCCAGAGATTGGAAAGCTGCCCCTCTTCAAAGGGGGTGACACTCTAGATCCAAACTGTTACAGACCTATATCCATCCTGCCCTGCCTTTCGAAAGTATTTGAAAGCCAAGTTAACAAACAGATCACCGACCATTTCGAATCCCACCGTACCTTCTACGCTATGCAATCAGCTTTGCGAGCTGGTCATGGGTGCACCTCAGCCATGCTCAAGGTCCTAAACGATATAATAACCGCGATCGATAAAAGACAGTACTGTGCAGCCGTCTTCATCGACTTTTGACTCTGTCAATCACCGCATTCTTATTGGCAGACTAAATAGCCTTGGTTTCTCAAATGACTGCCTCGCCTGGTTCACCAACTACTTCTCAGATAGAGTTCAATGTATCAAATCGGAGGGCCTGTTGTCTGGACCTCTGGCAGTCTCTATGGGGATGCCACAGGGTTCAATTCTCAGGCCGACTCTATTCTCTGTGTATATCAATGATGTCGCTCTTGCTGCTGGTGACTCTCAGATCCACCTCTACGCAGACGACACCATTTTGTATACATCTGGCCCTTCATTGGACACTGTGTTAACAAACCTCCAAACGAGCTTCAATGCCATACAACACTCCTTCCGTGGCCTCCAACTGCTCTTAAACGCTAGTAAAAC